GAATTGATCTCACCTGCTCTCGTAAAGGCATACAAATAAATTAGTAAATAAATAATATAATATTTGTCTATAAATTTCACTTGACCCACTCTACCCGAGAACAGAATCCAGGCCACTTTAGCTTCATTATCTAGTTTCCCCCTCTCCAAAGTAAAACAGGATACAGACCAGTGTGATATCATTTTACTAGAAGAACCGGATAGAACAGAATATAGGCCGCTGTGACATCGTTTTATTTGGTAACCAAAACAGAACAGGATGTGGACCACTAAGTTCCTTTTACTTGAAACCTCTGATTAAAGATACATTATGGGAGATAATAGTTAAAAACTAGATAGTGTAAAGTTAATTTGCTGAAAATTTCAGTCAAATTGATCCACTATGAGCCGAGAAAGAAGCCGGTGAAATTTTTGCATAGTCTCGGTTATCATTACTAAAATCATTAATATAAACAGCATAGTCTCGATTATCCACTTTTTCTGATTTAATTATCTTTGGCCGTTAGCGGCATATAGGAATCTAATCCAGCCTACATCGAAGGCTAGCCTTGACATCGAGAGTTTATTATGATCTGGATAAGTTAGTTAATGTCTAATTGATAATTTAGATAACATTTCAGGCCTAAAGAAAGACTTGTAATAAGCAGATTTTGCTCTTGCATAATGCATGTTTAATAAAAAGAATACAGACCACTGTACCATTTTAGAAATGACATCCCCGAATGCACAATCTGATTAAAAGATCTATATATGTTTTTCAAATTTCCGATGGCCTACACTAGTTGAAGATCGCGTTACAGGTCATTCGAGCTGCGTTTTAACCCTATGCCATCAGACATTTGCTTAACCAATCAGCGTTGATGTTTCTAGTGGGTTACCCACAGTTCTGTGCACCTCACGCCAAAAAGTCGCCGTAACAGACCGTTTCATTGAGTAATCCCTCACATCATCCAGAATGCGGTTTATATTACAACTCTTCCAGATCCTAGTATAATAAAGACAAGTAAAATGAAATTTTAAACTATACAAAACGAAAAGAAATATGATCTGTGTTTGAATCAGATTGTCAAGATTGATCAATTTGACTGAAAATGAAATGAAATGGGGTTTAACGTCCTACTGTTCTGCTCCTAAACTGGGCTAATGAAGACGGGCATACGCCATACAGTGTGCTATGAGTGAAATTTTGCCCGGGCAGCAAAAACCTTAAATATAATAATAACAAAATAATACGGCGATGTAATCAAATTGCCGAATGCGCAGGATACAGATAATTATTAATTTTACTTGACACTCCGAGTTATACTGGATACCGAGTACCGTGACATTATTGTACTTGCCCCCCCCCCCACCCTTTTTACCCGCACAAACCACCTAAAATATTTTTAATTGTTAATTATTCATTTGCTTCGTTTTGGTTTTTTTTGTGATTGATACCGATTGGTTACACATTGTTTTATTGTTGTGAATAGAAATATTTATCGCCTCATTTTAAATATAACACAAAATTATAATTACATATACCATAAGCGTTGATGTTATTGTACGCTGTGATGTTATTGTTCTCCTGTACGCTGTGTTGTTATTGTACTTCTGTACGCTGTGATGTTATTGTACTCCTGTACGCTGTGGTGTTATGGTACTCCTGTACGCTGTGATGTTATTGTACTCCTGTACGCTGTGATGTTATTGTACGCTGTGATGTTATGGTACTCCTGTACGCTGTGATGTTATTGTTCTCCTGTACGCTGTGGTGTTATTGTTCTCCTGTACGCTGTGGTGTTATTGTACTCCTGTACGCTGTGATGTTATTGTACTCCTGTACGCTGTGTTGTTATTGTACTCCTGTACGCTGTGATGTTATTGTACTCCTGTACGCTGTGGTGTTATTGTACTCCTGTACGCTGTGATGTTGTTGTACTCCTGTACGCTGTGGTGTTATTGTACTCCTGTACGCTGTGGTGTTATTGTACTCCTGTACGCTGTGGTGTTATTGTACTCCTGTACGCTGTGATGTTATTGTACGCTGTGATGTTATTGTACTCCTGTACGCTGTGATGTTATTGTTCTCCTGTACGCTGTGGTGTTATTGTTCTCCTGTACGCTGTGGTGTTATTGTACTCCTGTACGCTGTGATGTTATTGTACTCCTGTACGCTGTGATGTTATGGTACTCCTGTATACTGTGATGCTGTTGTACTCCTGTACGCTGTGATGTTATTGTACTCCTGTACGCTGTGATGTTATTGTACTCCTGTACGCTGTGATGTTATTGTACTCCTGTACGCTGTGATGTTATGGTACTCCTGTATACTGTGATGCTGTTGTACTCCTGTACGCTGTGATGTTATTGTACTCCTGTACGCTGTGATGTTATTGTACTCCTGAACGCTGTGATGTTATTGTACTCCTGTACGCTGTGATGTTATTGTACTCCTGTACGCTGTGATGTTATTGTACGCTGTGATGTTATGGTACTCCTGTACGCTGTGATGTTATTGTACTCCTGTACGCTGTGATGTTATTGTATTCCTGTATACTGTGATGTTATGGTACTCTTGTACGCTGTGATGTTATTGTACTCCTGTACGCTGTGATGTTATTGTACTCCTGTACGCTGTGATGTTATTGTACTCCTGTACGCTGTGATGTTATTGTACGCTGTGATGTTATGGTACTCCTGTACGCTGTGATGTTATTGTACTCCTGTACGCTGTGATGTTATTGTACTCCTGTACGCTGTGATGTTATTGTATTCCTGTATACTGTGATGTTATTGTACTCCTGTACGCTGTGATGTTATGGTACTTCTGTACGCTGTGATGTTATGGTACTCCTGTACGCTGTGATGTCATGGTACTCCTGTACGCTGTGATGTTATTGTACTCCTGTACGCTGTGATGTTATTGTATTCCTGTATACTGTGATGTTATGGTACTCCTGTACGCTGTGATGTTATGGTACTCCTGTATACTGTGATGTTATTGTACTCCTGTACGCTGTGATGTTATGGTACTCCTGTACGCTGTGGTGTTATTGTACGCTGTGATGTTATGGTACTCCTGTACGCTGTGGTGTTATGGTACTCCTGTACACTGTGATGTTATGGTACTCCTGTACGCTGTGGTGTTATTGTACTCCTGTACGCTGTGATGTTATGGTACTCCTGTACGCTGTGGTGTTATTATTGTACGCTGTGATGTTATGGTACTCCTGTACGCTGTGGTGTTATGGTACTCCTGTACGCTGTGGTGTTATTGTACTCCTGTACGCTGTGATGATATGGTACTTCTGTACGCTGTGGTGTTATTGTACGCTGTGATGTTATGGTACTCCTGTACGCTGTGATGTTATTGTACTGATTTCGAAATGTAAACGGACAAATAAATATGGTTTTAGCGTTGGATCGAACGCAAACTGGTAATTTTTTCGGAAAAGATCCCTTGACAGTTCGAATTCGATATAACAGTAGGCCGTAGTGCCGCTGTCCGAGCACAAATCCCTCATAGCACACTGTATGGCGTATGTCCGACTTCATTAGCCCAGGCTTGGAACAGAACAGTAAGTAGCACTTAAACCCCATTTCATGTCAATTCTTCTAATTTTGTTTCTTATTCTTTTTTATATTCCTTACGTGTTACGCAGTAAAAGGGAGAGATAGAAATGGTGTTTAACGTCCACTGGACACAAATTAGGTCATTTCGGGACTAACATATGGTTTGATTTTATTTCAGTAATTCGCTTGCGCGTAGGGGTCTTTAGCAGTGGGAGGAAACCGGAGAAAAACCCACGAGGTTGGACAGGTGACCCTACTCCTTGTCTCATACAACCGGGGAATCGAAACCGGCTCAATGACGGATTTCATTATGATACAGCGTGCACACGCTAACCATTCAGCCAACCAACCCCCCTTATTCAGTAAAACAAATCGAATTTGGACCTCCATATATTTTAATAAATGAGACCCATATACACATAGTTTATAACAGCTGTTATCTCTCGACAGGCCGTACATCATCATATCAAACCTAAATAAACATTTTTAAAATTGTTAGGTTACTACCAAAAACCACAAGGTAGACTTTCAAATCAATGGGTAACTATTTTTATAACATGTGTTATCTTTTGAAAACAAGCCAGCATAAAGTTGTGTGTACATTATGGCCACGGAAATGAAATGAAATGGGGTTTAACGTAGGAATTGGGTTAATGAAGACGGGCATACGCCATACAGTGTGCTATGAGGGAAATTTTGCCCGGCGTAATCTTATATCGATTTCAAACTGTCAAGGGATCTTTTACGTGCACGCCAATGTGTACACGGGACCTTGTCATTGGCCACGAGATGTAAACAGGGCTAGGTATAACCCTAACCCAAGACCTACCACGAACTAAATTTTCATCATCCTAAATCAGTGCTTATATGAAGACTCAACTTCTCCCTCCAATTCTTAAACCTAACCCCAAAACTTCGTCGGCAACATTAACGTACCATAACCTTGTTTACATCTCGTGACCTTGGGGAAATCTGCAGGCGGCTATATGAAATAGACCTGTAAAATACGTTTGTTTACTCGATCCAGTACTTGTAATTATGAACTTTTCACATAAGCAGCATTGTTTGTTATATTCGGTGGGGGTGAGGGTGAATGGCCGAATGGTTAGCACGTGCGCGTTGTATCATAAGGTCTGTCATTGAGTCAACTGGCTTGGTTTCGATTCGCCGGTTTTACGTGACAAAGAGTAGGTCGCCTGCCGGGTTCCTCCAGTTCCCGTCCACTCCCAAATGCTAAAGACCCCCCTCCTCTCTCTCTCTCTCAGTCTCTCTCTCTCTCTCCTCCTCCTCTCCCGCCCTCCCTCACTCTGTTATTATATTCATAGTCTATATACATACCTTTGAAGTAATACAATATTGTCTAAACCAAGATATACGAGATGAGTGTTAATTTTATTAAAAGGGTATTTCCCTGATACTGATATAGGGGTGAGATGAAAGTATGTCTATAATTTAACAGCAGGTTCATGTAGATGTGTGTATATCTATCAACACTAGTAGTCATAATAGTTCCACATGGTTAATCGAGGGATTCAACCGTTCAAGGAGATACATGGACGCCTCTTACAACAGGGTAAGTTATTTGTTGTTGTTTTTTTTAGGGATTTAAAGGATCTTTACAAACAGTTGTGTGGGAATTCCAGGGATTATAGGGACCTGTCCGTGATGTGAGGTTCTTAGCTAAGTTCTTTCTGTCTACATGGCCTACAACTAACAACGAAGCGTATGTATGTATATTTTAAATCCTCAATGTAACCGATGTAGATTAACAGTAGCCTACACGTCAGTTTAGGGAATTATTTGCAGTGTTCTCTTTACCGTGTATCCTCCCTTGTAGTTCGGGATTTAATAAAACAAGATACGACATACTAAATATATGTAAATAAGTTTTAGTTGTACGGAACCACGGTGGCTAAGTGGGTACGACACTGGCTCACCAGCCTGGAGTTCGAGTGTTCGATCCCTGCATTGATCGAGAAAGTTCATCCAGATTTTCCGGCATTGTTTCCCCGTGTCAGTGATGCATGACGTAGGGCCTGACAAGGACAGCTCTCTAGTCATTCGGATGGGACGAAAAATCGTGTACACATTGGCGTGCACGTAAAAGATTCCTTGGCAGATGGAATTCGATATAAGAGTAGACCGTAGCGCCGCTGCCCGGGCAAAATTTCCCTCATAGCACACTGTATGGCGTATGCCCGTCCTCATTAGCCCAGTCGGAGCAGAAAAGTAGGATGTTAAACCACATTTTATTTCATTTCGTTTCCCTTGTCGCTCGCTCCTGCCAGTAATGCAGGGCGGAGAGCCTGGCAAAGTATAGCGCCTAGTCGTTTGGGTTGAACGAAAAATCGAAGTCCCATGTACACTTCGAGGTGCACGAAAATTAACCCATGACGGTGCAATTCGATTGCTGCCCGGGGAAAATGTTCCCTTAACATAACATTAGCCGCGAGCCACGATGGCTCAGCGGGTAGGACGTTAAACTCCATTTCATTCTATAAATATTGAAAGTTCGTAGAGAGAGAGAGTTGAACGTTCACTAGACACAAACTAAGTCATTTCGGGACTAACATATGGTTACAAATGTCGAAGATGAATCCATTTCAAAAGCTTAAGTCAAAAAGACGTTGTCATTGGCTTTAATGTTGGACATTTTGGACTTATTCTTAAACTGTAATATATATATGTAATTAAAAATTATCGTCCACATATCGACTGAGTCGAATATAACAAAAAACTCATAGCTAAGACAAGATACATGTGTCAGCAAACTGTCACGCGTGACGCCACTGACTGTGTTACAGTATATAGGCAATACGCTTCTATATATATATATAAGTACACTGTGTTATAATATAAGTATATAATTATATCACGTATATCGTCACTAACTGTTATATACATGTCTACTTGTCTTATCTCATTTCCTGTATAGAGTCTTATCCTATATACACGTAATGTTTATCAAACATGAATCCTACTTCATTAGCCGGTGCTGAACAGTAGGATATTGAACCTAATTTCATTTCATTGCTACGAAACATGCAGATCTACGACAATCAGGGCCCGTGGGGGTGGGCAGCTGGGACACTTGTCCAGGGGCCTGGAGCTATGCCGAGTAATTTTTTTTTAAATTGTTGGTATAAATTAATAAAAAAAAAACCAATCATGTTACTTGATCGTAAATTGGAAGAACTCGGCACCTAGTGCCCTGACACTACAACGTTGTGGCCGAATGGTTAAAGCGTGCGTGTTGCATCATTAGGTTTGTCATTGAGTCACGTGGCGTTTTCGATTACCCGGTTGTATGTGACAAGGAGTAGGATTGCCTGTCCAACCTCGTGGGATTTCTCCGGGTCCCCAGGTTTCCTTCCACGGCTAGAGAACCCATGCGCAAGAAAATTATGTAAATAAAATTAAACCATATGTTAGTCCCGAAATGACCTAGTTTGTGTCGAGTGGACGTTAAACCCCATTTCTCGCTCCCCTCTCTCTCTCTCTCTCTCTCTCTCTCTCGCTCTCAGACATAGAAAACAAAGAGAGAGAGAGAGAGAGAGAGAGAGAGAGAGAGAGAGAAGAGAGCGAGATGAGTAACTAAACACCCCTGTCTTCAAAATGGATTAGTCCTCTTGGTGTCAGTTAATATAAACGCGCGTGTGGATCAGTTAGAACACGCTCATCCTTGACCTTGATTTTAAATCGGTTTATTGTTCAAGATGAAGTCGAGAAATCACGGGAGAAATTATGGGAGGAGATATTTATGGATTGGATGATTTAACATATGGATTCAGTAGATTTGTTATTGGGGTTCGTACGAACAATATGGAGAGCAAGACCTCCCAAAATCTGTGTTATTATTGAGATTGTGTCACGTATTTTCTAGGAAATTCCCAGACTTTTAAAAGTTTCGTCAAGTGTATTTAAAGCGATAATTTCATATTTTCTAAGAAAATCAAAACACAATTATTTCTTTGTCTTTTGCTCAATAGTTTCTCAACTCACTATTATACGATCATAGGTTATCATTTTCACACTTAAAAATCATTCATCCCGGAAATATGTTTTTCTATTCCCCCCATGGAATAGCTATTTTCAAATGTTTAAATTTGAAGTTGAAAATGATATTTTTGCCAATTTCTCAATGGCAATAGTGAATTATAGGATTAATAGGATTATTCTTTAACAAGGCAGAACTGTTTAAAGATACCATCTATTTTAGGGCTTTATTTTAATACATTTTAAAAATATAATTTAAAAATATGAAATTATCGCTTTAATGAATGTACAAACTAATCAAAGTATCGATGCGTTGTTTTCATTTTTCGCTAAAAATTTACTGTCAGTGCAGCTATATAAAAATAAATCATAATATTTGATAATAATAGGCTCAACCAGCGGTTGCCAGTCAAGAATAGGATTTTTCGTATAATCAGTGGCTGATATGTGTGAATATCCAAAGGAACTGGGATCTTTGGGATATTAACATATATTTTAAGTTTCATCAAAATCGGACAAAACATGTGACCTCTAGCGGGTCAACAACCTTAGTATTACATACTTTTACACTATTTGCGTTCCAGAAGCGGCCATTTTGTCGGACAGTTGCAAATTCGATCCGAATCATAAGGGTGTAAGGATGATATATTTAAACAAATTTTAAGATGGATAAAAACCGAAATCTTTGGGATATAAACATATATTTTTTACGTTTCGTCAAAATCGGATAAAAATTGTGACCTGTAGCGTGTCCGACGAACAAAGACTAATGAAGGACTGTTATATGCTCTGTATGCAAGTCATAGGTTTTAATGAAGACGGGAATACGCCATACAGTGGCTCCCTTTAATAATTGCATCCTTCAGCTAATAATAACCGCGGGAAATATCACACACAAACCGCCAACCGGAACCTCGGAAGGGGTGATTTAAAGTTGCAACATTCAGTAGGTTAACAATGAAAGAACTAAATAGAAATGATGCTAAGTTAACTCTCGTCTCGTGAAGCTGATTCGCCCGCCTAACCTCGTGGGTTTGCTTCCGGATACTCATGGGTTTGCTTCCGGATAGGCATGCTTGTTCTCTTGGATTAAGACCACAAAATAAAAGTTTCGTTCGACATCAAAGTTCCCGTGGAGGACGCTATGTTTGATTTGAGTGTGTTTATGTCACAACCTCTGCTTGGACGCTGCTGTTCACTTGTCTTCAGTGAAGGTAAATAGCGAGCTATAGTCAGATGTTGTATAACTCGCGGTCGTTGCTTTAGGAAATGAAATGAAATGAAATGAAATGGGTTTAACGTCCTACTGTTCTGCTTCTTTACTGGGCTAATGAAGACGGGCATACGCCAATCAGTGTGCTCTGAGGGAAATTTTCCCCGGGCAGCGGCACTATCGCCTTCTTTTATATCGAATTCCAACTGCCAAGGGATCTTTTACGTGCATTCCAATGTAAACACGGGACCTCGGTTTTTCGTGTCATCCGTTGCTTTAGGACCATAAGGTTTAGTCGACCTAACAAATTCAATTGCTTAGCTTAATATAGGATTAGTTTGGGCATAGGAACAGAACTCGCCGTAATTTACATTATATCTACGAATATGTATATTTGGTGGTTATCATACCCGTAATTTACATTATATGTACGAATATGTATATTTGGTGGTTATCATACCCACACGCTAAATGAAGGCGCTGGTATGGGCCACATTGTAATAGATCATTGCTAGCCGGTATTATACATAGACCTTAGTTAAAGTGACATTAGATGAGATTAGACAAAGTGCTGACAGTTCTCGCTATAACAGTTGCAAAAAAGATAATGAAAACAGAAATTGCTGAAAATTTTAGTCACATTGCGTCGCTCTGAATCGAGATATAAGCGATTCAATTTTAGACTAGCCTCGATCGCCATTGCTACCGTTGGTACGATCATAAACAAAGTGCCGATTATCTATTTGTACGTTAAATCATCCATCACAAACCATATTCAAATCCACTAAACATCGCAGGCTAACGATGACATCGAGAGTTGATTATGGTCTTGATAAGTTAATTGATGTCTAATTAATAGTTTATATAACATGTCAGGCCTAACGAAAGACCTGCAATAGGCAGATTTAGCTCTTGTATAATGTATATTTACCATTTTACTCTATAAATGTGGGGGGTTGGATGGCCGAATGGTTAGCACGTGCTCGCTGTATCATAAGGTCTGCCATTAAGTCAACTGGTGTGGTTTCGATTCCCCGGTTGTACGTGACAAGGAGTAGGGTCGTCTGTCCAACCTCGTGGAATTTCTCCGGGTCCTCCGGTTTCCTCCCTCTGCTAAAGACCCCTACGCGCAAACGAATCATTGAAATAACATTGAACCATCTGTTAGTCCCGAAATGACCTAGTTTTTGTCGATTGGACGTTAAACTCACCCCCCTCTCTCTCTCCCTCTCTCTCTAAATGTCTTACATTTTACTTTTCTATATTTTAGAACAACAATACTGGGAGAACTATAAATGTGCATAAGTGAAAAACGCGACCAAAAGTCATCACCCGGGGCGATATTGTTTATACACGGCACCACGAAGTCAAGACTTTAGAAAACTGATTATTTGCTGGGCCGGAGAACTTCCGCGTTCACTTCACCAAACGGTAATAACTGGATAACAACTAAAGATACCGGAACATCAGCAACGAGCTGTGATTTATCAAACGAAAATCTGTGCGTAGGATGGGAAACAGCGCAAGTAAAGACTTGTTAAGAGCATGCAAGTGTGGTGATACTTTTGATATTCATCTGTTTCTAAAACGAGGGGCCAATGTTGAGTATAGAGATTCCTATGGCAATACTCCACTATTAACAGCCATCACGAATAACCATGCAAATCATGTAGAGGTGTTACTCAACAATAGATATTCCTGTGCCAACCCAGATCACACTGACACGACTGGGAACACACCTTTAATGGTGGCGGCAAATAAGTTAGAAATTGTCCGATTGCTGATAAACAGTGGGTGTCAATTAAATAAGACGAATCGATTTAAGGATTCTGCACTACACCTGGCTGTCCGAATTGAAAATGCTGAAGTGGTTGAATTACTTGTGAAAAGTGGTATTGATGTTACACTAAAGAATAAGAATGGCCAGACCGCATTAGACATGGCTCTCCTTCTTGACAACGGGCCGATTGGCAACATATTGTTATCCAAACAACAAAATTTCAAGTCTTTCGACCAGAACATTCTTACACGAATGCTTCAACATGCATTGGCGTCTGATAACAGGGCGCGGGCCCAACTATTACTTGAACACGTCACATCCTTGAAGGTTGCTTTACTAGAAATCCCTTACCGTAAAGAAGACTCACAAATGGTGGAGAATTTAATCCAGAGATGCCTGAACCAGGATTCATCCACTTGTAAATGTTTGTTATTTTATCCAGTGAAATATCGTGACGCAAAGTGGACTAAAATATTAATTGAACGCGGTATTCCCTTTAATGCGTCGTTGCTAGACATCGCCTATATTAATAGAGATTTCGAAATGGTGAATATTTTAATCGAGAAGGGCCTGGAACATAAGATTGACCAGGGAAGTAGTACACCGATGATATATTATTGTGTAAAGCATTATGACCATACTCGAGTTCAAAAGCTGTTGAAACATAAAAGTTACATCAATATCCTGAATCGTGTTGAGTCATTACTGGATCCAACCGACAGTTGCAAAAACACCGAAACGGTTGCCTTGTTATTGGATATTGACAGGAATCGAGATCAGCCCGGATTTACACCTTACGAATATTATCGCGACTGTATTGAGTCACATCATTGATCGAACTCGACAAGTTGGTGAAGGATGAACTTCATTGGTTGAACTCGGCAGGTTTGGGAAGGATGAACATCCTTGATCGAACTCAGCAAGCTGGGGACGGATGGACATCCTTGATCGAACTCGACACGCGTGGGAAGGGTAAACATCCTTGGTCGAAGTTTGGAAAAGATGGACATCATTGAACGAACTCGACCAGTTTGGGTAGAATGCACACCATTGAATGAACTCGACAAGTTTGGAAGGATGCACATAATTGCTCAATCTGGTTAAAACACAGATCCTATTTCGTTTCGTTTTTATAGTTCGAAATTTCGTTTTACTTGTCTTTACTACACTTGGATCTGGAAGAGTTGTTATTTAACTCGTGTTCTGAATGGTGTCCGAGATAAACCAACGAAACGGTCTGTTACGACGAGCTTTAGGCGTATCTTTCACGGCACTGTGGGTAATCCACTAGTAACATCAATGCTGATTGGTAAATCAAATGTCTGACGTCAAAGGGTCATAAATCGGTCTTTTGACCCCTGACGTGAACTCCCACTATAACTTGTCAGATCTTCATGTAGTGTTGGCCATCGAAAGTATAAAAAACGAAACGAAATATAGATCTGTATTGTAATCAGATTGATAATTGCTCGAACTCGACAAGTTTGAGAAGCATGGACATACTTGGTCGAACTCGGCAGGTTTGAGAAGCATGGACATCCTTGGTCGAACTCGGCAGGTTTGAGAAGCATGGACATCCTTGGTCGAACTCGGCAGGTTTGGCAAGGATGACATACTTGATCAAACTCGGCAAGTTTGGGACGGATGGACATCCCTGATCGAACTCGACAAGTTTGGGAAGGATGCACATAATTTGGAAACGACCAATGTTTTTTTATTGAATCTTGTGTACAAAAATAACTAATGTAGCAGCGTCTAGTACATCTTTTTAAGAACCTATCGAAAAGGGGTTGGGGGGGGGATTAGAAATCTAAAGCACAGATTGGTTTTGACCTTACTAAGCTCATGTTGGAAACAATTTCTAGTTTGTTTTGATGAACCAGATTTGAAGTGAGAAGGAATTACCAACTTATTGGATACGGGATAGTAAAAGCGATTCTTCGGAAAAGTTGAGTAGTGAGAATCCTGGGTCAATATATATCCCTGTACATTAAAGGACAATATTGGTGTACGCATCTATCGTAGCAATAATCTCTGTGTTAAAATCATATTTGGGACGTGTTTAACCAGTTCTATCACATATGGGATAATGATCGACTGACGCCAATATTGTCCTTTAATGTTCAGGGGTTTATATTGACCCACGATTCATACTACTCAATAACTCGTCACAGTCAGTTATATATATAAGGATAACTCCTGTTTCCTTTTGCGTTCGTCACTTCCGATACTTGAAACCTACATTACGCATCTATCGTAGCAATGAACTCCGTGTTAAAATTATATTTGGGACTTATTTGACCATATGTGATAATGACTGACACCAATATAGTCCTTTAACATTACCTTCCAGATCAACATGTCGAATTAGATTATGAGTTATTTTGTAGGTTCCCAAGCTCTCGACATTGTGAACATACTACAAGAGTTGGATTCAAATCCAATCTCATTTCTTATATATTTTCATCAAATTGTTATCAGTATGGCAATCATATTAATTTGTTTAGTGGATTATAATTTGAATTTTATGTTTCTTACTGGCTTTGTAATATGGCTTTGTAATATGAGAGAGAGAGAGAGAGAGAGAGAGTGAGAGTGGGTGAGAGAGAGAGAGAGAGAGAGAGAGATAGAGAGAGTCATTTCTGGACTAAAACATGGTTCAATAATTTTATTTCATCTGCGCGTGGGAGTCTTCAGCATTGGGAGGAAACCTCACGAGGTTGGACAGGTGACCCTACACCTTGCCACGTAAAACCGGGGAATCGAAACCACGCCAGTTGACTCAATGACATACCTTATGATACAGCGGGCACGTACTAACCATTCGGCCATCCAATCCCCTACTTTACATAGATGGTGCCGTGCCCCTACATAACACATCGCATGATTAGATCCCAATCCGAGTCTGTATTAGTAGCTAAAAGTGACACGGGTAAAAAAAAAGGGGGGGGGGAACTAGTGAAGGAATAGGAAAAATCGCACACTGCTGAAATACGCACCAAATGATTTATTTTCTGCAACACTAAATGGTATTATTGTTATTAGTTGTACTTTCTGAGACACGTATTGTTATTATTCCACACGCATTGTTATTATTCCACACGCATTGTTATTATTGTTATTATAGTTCAGAACACGTTGTTATTATTCAACACGCATTATTATTATTCAACACGCATTATTATTATTCAACACGCATTGTTATTATTGTTAGTAGTTGTAACTTCTGTAACACAAATTGTTATTATTATTAACTCGCTATAATGTATGTAACACAAGCTGATATTATTGTTTAGTAGTTATAATTTCTGTAACACAAGCTGTTATTATTGTTTATTAGGTATAATTTATGTAACACAAATTGTTATTATTGTTTAGTAGTTATAATTTCTGTAACACAAATTGTTATTATTAGTAGTAGTTGTTGTAATTGTTACTATACGATTTTATTTTATTGTTTAATTTTAGTATTGGATGAAAAATATTATTTATTCGGGCTTCCATTATGTGCTTTAATTACTTATGGTAAAATTAGATACCAATTAACATTTAATATGGTGCTTCTGTTGTAATGAATAGTTTGAACAATGTATATACATGTGTTTTATAATTTTTTTAAAAATATAAACTGGTAATATTATGTTTAAACAATGTATATAAATATACAGGTTTTTAAAATGTTTTTTTCGTTTTTTAAAATAAACTGATTACAATATTATGTTTAAATAATGCATGTTGTTTAAATGTTTTTTTTCATTTTGTTAAAACAAACTAATTACAATATGTTTAAATAATGCATGTTGTTTAATGGTTATTCATGTTTTAAAACAAACTAATTACAATATGTTTAAATAAAGTATGTTGTTTAAATGTTTTTTTCATTTCTTGTTAATAAACTGCTTCATTATGTTTAAACAATGTATATTTTTTAAAGGTTATTCAATTATTTTTTTTTAATCAAGTATTTTTGCCACTTTTTTTTCTATTTTACCCGATGCCCCCTCCCCACCCCTTGTGTGTGGTACATCATAGAGGGTCGAGCAAGGGGTAACGTTAAGTCGTTCGGATGGTACATATTTGTGTGCACGGAAAATAACTCATGACAGTTTGAATTCCCAGAACAGCAGGGCATTAAACCTGATTTCATATTTACCCATGCCATTATAACATATATTCACCGTCTATATTAAGTGATCAAAACATACGGAGGGTCTGACAAGCAAAGCTGTTCAGTCGTTCGGATGGGACGAAAAACCGAGGTGCACGTAAAAGAGCCCTTGGCAGTTAGAATTCGATACAAGAGTAGGCCATGGTGCCGCTGCCCGGGCAAAATGTCCCTCATAGCACACTATAATATGGCGCATGTTTTTTTGCCTGTCTTCATTAGCCTACTCGGAGTAGGACGATAAACCCCATTTTATTTCATTTTATTTGATCAAAACACCCCATTTATCACCTGAAAGAACATGTATAGTGTAATTATTATTCATATGTAGTGGGGATATAAATTTATTAAAAATAATATGAACTTATACGAGCCAACAAGGATGGTATTATATGACATAATAAAAGGGTCAAGGTGGCCCAATGTTGTCTGTTACGTCAGAAAAATAGGACGTTTAATCCCATTTTTTATGTATCAGCTACATAATATAAGGGTGAATAAGACTTGATGGTATCTGTAACGTGAACAATATGATGTTGTGGTGAATAGAATACCGATTATCCTGATACGGCTCACGTCAGTAATAACGTACAACGAACGCAGCTAAAAATGTGATTTTTCGTAAAATGAGGGGAAATAATCCATGAAGTTACGGTCCGATTAGCTACAATTAAATATATCGTTAAACTGTGTTTAACGCTACAATTGATACAGTCTAATACTCCTTACGCAAGTTCAAATAGGTTCAAACGCACAATTGTCAACACATATCATTACAGTTTGTATTGAAATAAGTAATTCTATCACAAATAGTGAAGACTGCACCACTAAAATAGTTACCGAACAGTTTTTCTTTGTGGTAATGCGTTCTACATTTTCAAAGCCATGTTTCGTATAATGTGAAAGCCGCCATGACACCTGTCAGTTGAAATAAGTTCGGTAGGCGAGAAATTTCGCGTAGCAGTTGGGTTTCATATCATAATGCGGTAAGACTTCATTTTTATTTCAATGAGAATTGGTTTATTATATGTTAAGCTATGTGCAGTACAGTTTTGGGTCAGTTTATGTGTAAATTAAGGGAGCTATAGTCATTTGACTAAAAAACTTGCGCAAAGGAACTCCATAGGACGAGCCACTACTGTGGCTGGAGTAAGGCGGAAGACATCAGTAGTGGAACCATTTCTACGGTCCGATATGCGCAAATATCTTTAATAATTTGAGTGAGCCGTGTTCAGCCTTGTTGCTCAGCGATCTAACATGGAACATGTGCTAAGATTTTCTTAAGGGGGCTTACCTGTATGGAAGAAAATGAAAGGGGTTTACGTGTGTGGAAGCAAAGTTGGAGGGCTTACCTGTGTGGAAGCAAAATAGGGGGGGGGGGGCTTACTTGTGTGGAGGCGAATTAAGGGGGATTACCTGTGTGGAAACGAATTAAGGAGGTTTACCTTTGTGGAAACGAATTAAGGAGGCTTACCTTTGTAGAATCGAATAGAGGGTTTAGTGTAGTCATCTAAAATAGGCTATAATGACCTTTTAATCTTTGGCAATTAAATTTAGCTATTTCTCTAAAAATCATTGGGCGGTTAACAAAAATACCCCAAACGGAGAACTGGATCTAAATGTATAAAAGTTCCAGGCTTTTATGTCCAGAATGATTGGCCGGCGACAATATACCTCCACATGAAAATTTGGGCTTATAAAAATTGAATGCCACCATATAAGGCATAGGCTCCGATTTGTTCAGCTATTAAGGGAGACAAACATAAGGACTGAATATTACATGGATTTTAGATCTCAAGCATTCTATAACATAATGTAACAAGATAACATTGTTCATATACTTTAACATTATAGGGCAGAGAGAGAGAGAGAGAGGGGGGGGGGGAGAGGGGGGAGAGAGAGGGGGGGGGGCTTAACGTCCACTCGACACAAACTAGGTCATTTCAGGACTAGCATATGGTTCAATTTTATTTCAATAATTCGCTTGTGCTTAGGGGTCTTTAGCAGTGGGGGGAAACCGGGGGACCCACAGAAAACCCACAAGGTTGGACAGGCGACCCTACTCCTTGTCACGCACAATCGGGGAATCGAAACAACGCCAGTTGACTCAAAGACAGACCTTATGATAAAACGCACACGCGCTAACCATTCGGCCCCACCCTAACATTATAGCAGGTTATATCACATACATGACATAATATAATTTGGGATTGGTTTTGTTAACATAATTATGTGAGAGAGACTAATCTAACCGAGACTATAATACTGCAACTTTGACACTCGGCAAACCTCAGCAGATTTCAGTACCCTACATCTAGCCTCGGCTGTATGTCAAGTAAGCCATTGGAACTACTTTCAAGTTCCCGGATTACCAACGGCGTTGACCATGACGACGCCTTTGAAGAATGTTTTATCATACAAACATTTCAAAGTCTGAAGCTGTTTTTCTTTCAAGTTTAACCGATTTTCTTCAAACAAGGACAACTTTGCACTTAAAATTCTACACACGCTTCGAACAACGCAATTTTGATAACTTCTTTTTAAAAGCGACAAGTTTTTCTAATAAGTAAACCGGTGCCGCATCGCAATTATATAGGCGTAGGTACATATCACTTACCGTCATACAGCCGAGGCTAGATGTACAGTAACGGAACCTGCCGAGGTTTACCGAGTGAAACTTTGAAAGCTCTCCTGCATTAGAAACCATAATTTGTTGTCAATACACCCATTGCTCTAGTTTCACTTTTATTTTCCCGTATCAGTATCAGTCCATTAAAACTAAAGAAAACTGTTGTCTTCTATGAAATCCTCCACGACACGACTCAAGGCACCAATGCTCCGCAAAGCTGCTACAACGTAATTTATTATATATATATATTTGTGACTGTCGTTTGTCTGTCTGTTTGTCTGTCTGTCTATCTGTCTGTTCGGGGTTGGCGGCTACACTAGGTCCTCCCCGAGTCTGAAATTTGGGGTATAGGGGTAGCTTGGACCGGGGAGTAACATGGGCCAGGTGGCGTTAGTCTACCACTTCCGGTTTCGGAGTTATGACCCCCGAGCGAAGCCGGTCTGTTCGGGGTTGGCGGCTACACTAGGTCTGCCCCGAGTCTAAAATTTGGGGTATAGGGGTAGCTCGGACCGGGGAGTAACATAGGCCAGGTGGCGTTAGTCTACCACTTCCGGTTTCGGAGTTATGACCCCCCGAGCGAAGCCGGGTATCTGTCTGTCTGTCTGTTCGGGGTTGGCGGCTACACTAGGTCTGCCCCGAGTCTGAAATTTGGGGTATAGGGGTAGCTTGGACCGGGGAGTAACATAGGCCAGGTGGCGTTAGTCTACCACTTCCGGTTTCGGAGTTATGACCCCCGAGCGAAGCCGGTCTGTTCGGGGTTGGCGGCTACACTAGGTCTGCCCCGAGTCTAAAATTTGGGGTATAGGGGTAGCTCGGACCGGGGAGTAACATAGGCCAGGTGGCGTTAGTCTACCACTTCCGGTTTCGGAGTTATGACCCCCGAGCGAAGCCGGGTATCCTGCTAGTATTATATTAAAATACAGATGTGACGTCAACCGTTCATGTTGTCGTACCAGGGTACGAAAAACTTGCCTGGCGTAAATTATTGAAATATTGGACTCGCGTGACGATTGCATTGAAATTCACGTGTCTGTACGTAAGTTGTTTGATGATCTCGAGAAAGATATTGCGCAATATATAGAATTATAATACAGATATGAGGTCATCTTTTGTATTATAAATATATATACTATTTGAAATGTTATACCCACGCGACGTATTCAACCGTAAACATGGATATTTATAAACACACTGGCGTAGTGTTTGCATAAACCCACCCCATTCTCACGAGCGCAGTCAGTGAATGTATTCAGTATACTAGGAAAGGTTATTTTACATTGTATATACGTTATGTCGTCAACAGAAAGGGGAATCCCCAGATTGTGTATTTCAATAACAAACATGAACAGTAGATCGATAATATTAATCATTACTGATATACATTTAAACTGGCTGCACGTAAGTAGTATACTGAGTTGTAGGGAATTAATGTAATGTGGTATACGTGGGGTGTAATGTGGTATAAGTTGGGTATTATTGAGGTGTAATGTAATATAGGCTATTGGTTTTGATTTTGTACGTTTTAGTTGGGTATAATTGGAGAGTAATGGAGAGAGAGAGAGAAAGAGAGAGAGAGAGAGAGATGGTGTTTAACGTACACAAACTAGGCCATTTCTAGGCCATATGGTTTTATTTTATTTCAGTAATTCTCTTGCACGTAGGGGTCTGTAGCAGTGGGGGGAACCGGAGAACCCGGAGAAAACACACGAGGTTCGACAAGCAAGTAATAATATTGGCTATTGGTTTTGGATTTTTACGTTTAAATACTTTTTTTTCTAATTTAGAACAATAATACAGACAGAGACGTAACAGTCAAAAACAAACGGCTTACTGGATTGACCGGAAAACAACACGTGTTAGACTCACAACTGGTCAGCAAAGACCTGGAGTGTGGAGATTTAACATACAAACCACCACAAGCACTATGGGAAACCGTAAAAGTAAAGGACTATTGAGGTCGTGTAAGGATGGTGATTATGATAGCATTGTGTCGTTGCTGAAACGTGGAGCCGACGTTGAATATACCGATTCATATGGTAATACACCACTACTTACAGCTATCAAGAATCATCATACAAATTGTGTAAAGTTGTTACTGAATAATGATTATTCCCCTGCCAATACAGAACACAGGGACCAGACTGTGAACACACCTTTAATGATGGCAGCAAATAATGTAGATATTGTCAGATTGTTGATAAACAATGGGTGCCAATTAAATAAAACGAACGAATGTAAGAATTCTGCACTACACCTGGCTGTCCAATTTAAAAATGTTAAAGTTGTTAAATTACTTGTGTACAGTGGTATTGATGTTAACCTCACTAACAAGAAAGGTGAAACAGCACTGGACATTGCTACAACTCTTCGCAACGCAGCTATATTCGGTGTATTAAAAGAACTTCTCGGTTCCGATAATGTGAACCCTGTTTGGCAGAAATGTATGGAGTATTCTGCGTCACATCGTGACATAACATCGGCGACTAAATTAATCCAACAGGACACTCCAATGCTTGCTGCTTCCTTACTTGAATGCGCTTACCGTAAACAAGACATGACAATGGTGGACACTTTAATAGACGCTGGTCTTCGCCAGAATTACAACCCCACCAGATTTAAGGTGGACACGTTTTTACATAAATGTATGGAGTATTCTGTGAGTTATTGTGACATAAAATCGGTCACAAAATTAATCCAACACGGTACGCCTGTCAAACCCTCCTTACTGTCAGACGCTTATTGTAATGGAGACCTTGTAATGGTGGACACATTAATACAAGCTGGTCTTCACCAGAATCACGATCAGACCAGATTTACAGCTTTCATCTATTATTCTGTGTCATATAGAGATACTGAGCGGGTTAAAAAATACATCAAATATGCCAGTCCCTTCGGTGCTCTGGAGGATGGTCGGTCGTTATTAGATGTCGCATATCATGCTGAAAACTATGACATGGCGGGAATTTTACTCCAAAATGGCCATGAACTGACTTTTGGCAATTGTTTAAGAGCATTAAATTTGCATCTTAACCAATACAATCGCTTTAAACACAGTATCGTAATAATTAAACATGTAATACAGTATGGTATAGCCCACATGTATCGTTGGCGAACACAGTTCATGCCCCCCAAAATACGTCTTGAATACGACGTAGATCTTTGCGTATTTGAGAATATCAACATACTGTACTTGTTGTACATGTCCAACTTAATAAAAAACCACGAGTTACACCATAGACTCTCACAGCTGTCTATAGCCTTTAATTACCATGTAATTGTAAACAAATTACAAAACATGGCTTCCGATCGGGCGCCATATCTTAGTCCCTCGCTAAAAGCATTACAAGAACTTGCTTCAAGTCCTATGCCCCTTGTTTGTATAACCCGTAATGTGATTTGTGAATCCCTAGGTCCGCCTAATATGTGGTTTAATGTAGGGTTATTGCCCCTGCCTGATAAACTTAAATCGTTTCTAAGATATGAAGATATCCTTATGAAAATTTCGTTCAGATACAATTTTTGTGCCACAACATTAAATGGAATTCCACAAGGAACTGTCGATGCTTGAGATTCAGAACGTGTTTAACATGTAGCCACAGATTCGGAAGTCTTCGGGAACTTTGTGATGGAATTTGTTGAAACCATGCTCACGAATGAAACGACAAACCCTGAATGGTTACATGAATGTTGACCAACCATTCGGCCATCCAACTCCCCGAATGTTGACCAACCAAAGATGCTAGCAAGGAGTTGTATACTGTTTTTTATATGTAAATAATAAATACAGGTAAATTGCCTTTGTGATAACGGGAGATATAGGAGTAGGCTTAGATTAGTTAGCCATCATTGCTACATTATGGTCATCTGCCAACTAATTGAATCTTACAAACATCTGCATTTCTCCAATAATATAACGTTTGAAAACTTAATTTCATAAATTGCTAGGCTACCAAAATAAAGCTTATCACAAAAATATAATAACGGTAAACTTAATTTTAACTTCAGTGGGAAATGTTTTTAAAAAAAACGAGAATAAATGGGAATCTAAATTTCAAATCAGCAAAGATATGGATTGGTGGAAGTATGTATATACTCAAACCTTTATATTTACTACTGACATGAAACTAAATTTGTTTCAGTTCCGGGTAAGTCATAAAATAGTTGCTACAAATTTGCTTTGATGTAAAATTCGTATTAAACATTGCGAACTGTGTCCAGCAGACTATTGTACAGTTTAATAGATACCAGGAGATAAGAGGATTTTACATAGCCTAAGCCTGTTCCCCAATCCCATTCAGACAACCTGAATAAAATATTGTTTTAAACAAAAGTTGGTTAATAATAGAACAAATATTATAATAGTTGATAGTATCAATCACCAGACATTGTACAAACTCTAACATTATGTTATAATAGTTGATAGCACCAATAACCGGATATTGTACAAAGTCTAACATTATGTTATAATAGCTGATAGTACCAATCACCAGATCTTGTACAAACTCTAACATTATGCTATAGTTGATAGTATCAATCACCAGACATTGTACAAACTCTAACATTTGGTGCAGTGGGCGCCCCACGGGTGTTTTGTCAGGGAATCCAGTATTTTTCTAGTACGACGACTGTGTCTCTCCTTTCTATGTATACACAATATACCATACGTTTATCGGAAATAACTAAGGTGTACTGTTATAAACGTGATATTACCTACCAGTGTATAGTGTTATAAATGTGATATTACCTACCAGTGTATAGTGTTATAAATGTGATATTACCTACAAGTAAAGGCACGGTATGGTGTTATACACGTGATATTACCTACCAGATAAGGTATCGTGTTATGGTGGTTATATTACCTACCAGGTAAGGTATATTGTTATACACGTGATATTACCTACCAGGCAAGGTATCGTGTTATGGTGGTTATATTACCTGTATACATATTAGTTATAAATAGTAACTTGTACACGTCACTTACATTCGTCATTTATATATTAACAATGTATAATCACTGAATGAATCTATTCAATATACCAGGAAAGGTCACGTGAATTGTACACCATCAATAGAGACAGGTTATGTCACGTTGTATAGCATCAATAGAAAGGGGAATACCCCGATATAACATAGAAACTAACAACAAATATTTAGTCTACATGAACGTCTTCTAGCACAAGTAAAACTCTTTATTTAGTAGTTTTAATAATACAGTTTAAGAGTAAGTTGGATACAATTTGAGTGTAATGTGGTATATATTGGATATAATTTGAGTGTAATGTGGTATTTATTGGATATAATTTGAGTGTAATGTGGTATATATTGGATATATTTTGAGTGTAGTGTGGTATAAGTTCGATATATTTTGAGTGTAATTTTGTACAATTTGGGTATAATTTAAATGTAATGTAGTAATGTGGTATACGTAGAGTATAAGTTTATTGTTTGGGGTTTAACGTCCTACTGTTATGCTTCGGCTTGACTAAAGAAGACTGCCTACTTTTATATAGAATTCCAACTGCGTAGTGATCCTTTACGTGCATACCAATGTGTACACGGGGTCTCGGTTTTTCGTTCCATTCCAACGACTATAACTTGTCGCTCGCCAGTCCTTCCGTCCTGTACCATTGAGTGTAATGTGGTATATATTGGATATAATTTGACTTTTATGTGGTATATATTGGATATAATTTGAGTGTAATGTGGTATGTATTGGATAAAATTTTAGTCTAATGTGGTATGTATTTGAGTGGTATGTATTTGATATAATTTTAGTGTAATGTGGTATATATTGAATATAATTTAAGTGTATGTGGTATATATTGGATATAATTTGTGTTTTATGTGGTATATATTGGATATAATTTGAGTGTATGTGGTATATATTGGATATAATTTGAGTGTAATGTAGTATATATTGGATATAATTTGAGTGTATGTGGTATATATTGGATATAATTTGAGTGTATATGGCATATATTGGATATAATTTGACTGTAATGTGATATAATTTGAGTGTAATGTGGTATACATTAGATATAATTTGAGTGTAATGTGGTATAGAGAGAGAGCGAGAAATGGAGTTTAACGTCCACTCGACACAAACTAGGTCATTTTGGGACTAACATATGGTTTCATTTTATTTCATTAATTCGCTTGCGAGTAGGGGTCTTTAGCAGTGGGAGGACCCGGAGAAAACCCACGAGGTTGGACAGGCGACCCTACTGCTTGTCACATACAACCGGGGATTTGAAACCACGCCAGTTGACTCAATGACAGGCCGTATGATACAGCACGCACGTGCTAACCATTCGGCCACCACCCCCCCCCCCTTCAGAACGCGAAAAGTTGAAAAGTAGAAGTTACGACAAAATGTGAGGCGACAACACGCTATACAAGCCAAAATCAATTTGAAAATAGGAAATTAAGAAATAACACACAGTGATAATAGCGCACCTCGTTTTTTCCTAATTTCTTATTTTCGACTTGCAATTTGGCTTGTATACCCTCTTTTTGTATTTATTGATGTCAGAAAGAAGCTGCCAACACGCTATACAAGCCAAAATCAATTTGAAAATAGGAAATTAAGAAATAACACACAGCGATAATAGCGCTCCCCGTTTTTTCCTAATTTCTTATTTTCGACTTGCATTTTGGCTTGTATACCGTCTTGTCGACTTTTGACTTAGTCATATTTTTGTACTTATTGATGTCAGTACGAAGGCACCAACACGCATAGCAAGCCAAAATGCAACTAGAAAATTAGAAATTAGAAAATAAACACACGCGCTATTAGCGACGCTATCATTTTGGCTTGCTGTCGTACTGGCGACTTTTTGAGTTTCGCCTCGGAAGTAAGTGGTTGTAGTCACAATTTGCCAGGTCGAATTTAAATACATGCAATTTGCGTTAACAAAATAGTCTGTATGATAAAGTCTAGTATTAAAGGCGATATTAGCGACCTATGATTTTGGCTTGCTGTCGTGCTGTCGACTTTCCCCCTCGGAAGTTGATGTAGTCTCTACTTTCAAGGTCACATTAGAATACGCGCATTGATAATTGAATTTCATTTAGGCCTACTGTGGTTTCATACCGCATATAAAATATACAGGTTTTCCCGATTGTATATTATTATTTTTTTTTGAAATAAAGGTGTGTTCCCATTCGTGTCAGTGTGATCTGGGTTGGCACAGGAATATATATTGTTGAATAACACCTGTACATGATTTGCATGGTTATTCGTGATGGCTGTTAATAGTGGAGTGTTGCCATAGGAATCTCTATACTCAACATTGGCCCCTCGTTTTAGAAACAGAAGAATATCAAAAGTATCACCACACTTGCATGCTCTTAACAAGTCCTTACTTGCGCTGTTTCCCATCCTACGCACAGATTTTCGTTTGATAAATCACAGCTCGTTGCTGCTGTTCCGGTATCTTTAGTTGTTATCCAGTTATTACAGTTTGGTGAAGTGAAGGCGGAAGTTCTCCGGCCCAGCAAATTATCCGTTTTTTAAAGTCTTGACTTCGTGGTGCCGTGTATAAACAATATCGCCCCGGGTGATGACTTTTGGTCGCGTTTGTCACTAATACACATTTATAGTTCACCCAGTATTGTTGTTCTAAAATGTAGAAAATGAGAGAGGGGGGGGGGGGTAGCGTCCAATCGACACAAACTAGGTCATTTCGAAACTAACACATGGTTTAATTTTATTTCAATAATTCGCTTGCACGTAGGGGTCTTTAGCAGTGGGGGGGGGGCGGATAATCTGGAGAAAACCCACGAAGTTCGACAGGCAAGTAATAATATTGGCTATTGGTTTTGGATTTTTACGTTTTAATGCTTTTTTTCTAATTTAGAACAATAATACAATCAGAGACGTGACAGGCTTACTGGATTGACCGGAGAACAACACGTGTTAGACTCACAACTAGTCAGCACAGATGTGGAGTGTGGAGATTTAACATAGAAACCACCACGATCAGCATGGGCAACAGTGACAGTAAGGCACTGTTGAGGTCATGTAAGGATGGTGATTATGGTAACATTGTGTCGTTACTGGAACGTGGAGCCAACGTTGAATATACCGATTCATATGGTAATACACCACTGCTTACAGCTATCAAGAATCATCATACAAATTGTGTAGATTTGTTACTGAATAATGAATATTCCCCTGCCAATACAAAACACAGAGACATGACTGCGAACACTCCTTTAATGATGGCAGCAAATAATGTAGATATTGTCAGATTGTTGATAAACAGTGGGTGCCAATTAAATAAGACGAATCGGTTTAAAGATTCTGCACTACACCTGGCTGTCCGATTTAAAAATGTTAAAGTTGTTACATTACTTGTTTCCAGTGGTATAGATGTTACCCTCACTAACAAGAAAGGTGAAACAGCACTGGACATTGCTACAACTCTTCTCAACGCAGCTATATTCGGTGTATTAAAAGAACTTCTCGGTTCCGATAATGTGGACCCTGTTTGGCAGAAATGTATGGAGTATTTTGCGCCACATCGTGACATAAAATCAGCGACTAAATTAATCCAACAGGACACTCCAATGATTGCTGCTTCATTACTAGAATACGCTTACCGTAAACAAGACATGGCAATGGTGGACACTTTAATAGACGCTGGTCTTAACCAGAATTACAAACGCACCAGATTTAAGGTGGACACGTTTTTACATAAATGTATGGAGTATTCTGTGAGTTATTGTGACATAAAATCGGTCACAAATAAAATCCAACACGGTACGCCTGTCAAACCCTCCTTACTGTCAGACGCTTATTGTAATGGGGACCTTGTAATGGTGGACACATTAATACAAGCTGGTCTTCACCAGAATCACGATCAGACCAGATTTACAGCTTTCATCTATTATTCTGTGTCATATAGAGATACTGAGCGGGTTAAAAAATACATCAAATATGCCAGTCCCTTCGGTGCTCTGGAGGATGGTCGGTCGTTATTAGATGTCGCATATCATGCTGAAAACTATGACATGGCGGGAATTTTACTCCAAAATGGCCATGAACTGACTTTTGGCAATTGTTTAAGAGCATTAAATTTGCATCTTAACCAATACAATTGCTTTAAACACAGTATCGTAATAATTAAACATGTAATACAGTATGGTATAGCCCACATGTATCGTTGGCGAACACAGTTCATGCCCCCCAAAATACGTCTTGAATACGACGTAGATCTTTGCGTATTTGAGAATATCAACATACTGTACTTGTTGTACATGTCCAACTTAATAAAAAACCACGAGTTACATCATAGACTCTCACAGCTGTCTATAGCTTTTAATTACCATGTAATTGTAAACAAATTACAAAACATGGCTTCCGATCGGGCGCCATATCTTAGTCCCTCGCTAAAAGCATTACAAGAACTTGCTTCAAGTCCTATGCCCCTTGTTTGTATAACCCGTAATGTGATTTGTGAATCCCTAGGTCCGCCTAATATGTGGTTTAATGTAGGGTTATTGCCCCTGCCTGATAAACTTAAATCATTTCTAAGATATGAAGATATCCTTCATGAAAATTTCGTTCAGATACAATTTTTGTGCCACAACATTAAATGGAATTCCACAAGGAACTGTCGATGCTTGAGATTCAGAACGTGTTTAACATGATTCGGAAGTCTTCGGGAACTTTGTGATGGAATTTGTTGAAACCATGCTCACGAATGAAACGACAAACCCTGAATGGTTACATGAATGTTGACCAACCATTCGGCCATCCAACTCCCCGAATGTTGACCAACCAAAGATGCTAGCAAGGAGTTGTATACTGTTTTTTATATGTAAATAATAAATACAGGTAAATTGCCTTTGTGATAACGGGAGATATAGGAGTAGGCTTAGATTAGTTAGCCATCATTGCTACATTATAGTCATCTGCCAACTAATTGAATCTTACAAACATCTGCATTTCTCCAATAATATAACGTTTGAAAACTTAATTTCATAAATTGCTAGGCTACCAAAATAAAGCTTATCACAAAAATATAATAATGGTAAACTTAATTTTAACTTCAGTGGGAAATGTTTTAAAAAAAAACGAGAATAAATGGGAATCTAAATTTCAAATCAGCAAAGATATGGATTGGTGGAAGAATGTATATACTCAAACCTTTATATTTACTACTGACATGAAACTAAATTTGTTTCAGTTCCGGGTAAGTCACAAATTTGCTTTGATGTAAAATTCGTATTAAACATTGCGAACTGTGTCCAGCAGACTATTGTACAGTTTAATAGATACCAGGAGATAAGAGGATTTTACATAGCCTAAGCCTGTTCCCCAATCCCATTCAGACAACCTGAATAAAATATTGTTTTAAACAAAAGTTGGTTAATAATAGAACAAATATTATAATAGTTGATAGTACCAATCACCAGATCTTGTACAAACTCTAACATTATGCTATAGTTGATAGCACCAATAACCGGATATTGTACAAACTCTAACATTATGTTATAATAGTTGATAGTATCAATCACCAGATATTGTACAAACTCTAACATTATGCTATAATAGTTGATAGTACCAATCACCAGATATTGTACAAACTCTAACATTATGTTATAATAGTTGATAGAACCAATCACCAGATCTTGTACAAACTCTAACATTATGTTATAATAGTTGATAGTACCAATCACCAGATATTGTACAAACCCTAACATTATGTTATAATAGTTGATAGCACCAATAACCGGATATTGTACAAACCCTAACATTATGTTATAATAGTTGATAGTACCAATCACCAGATATTGTACAAACTCTTAACATTATGTTATAATAGTTGATAGAACCAGTCGCCAGATATTGTACAAACTCTTAACATTATGTTATAATAGTTGATAGAACCAGTCGCCAGATATTGTACAAACTCTTAACATTATGTTATAATAGTTGATAGCACCAATAACCGGATAGTGTACAAACTCTAACATTATGCTATAGTTGATAGTACCATTCACCAGATATTGTACAAACTCTGATATTATGTTATAATAGTTGATAGAACCAGTCGCCAGATATTGTAAAAACTCTGATATTATGTTATAGTTGATGTATAAACTCTAACATTATCATATATTAGATATAGAACCAATCACCAGATATTATACTTAGTAGGATTTCATATTTATAAACAAAGACTTTAAATTCAAAGCCTATATTAAGTATTTTTCAGCTAGAAAGAAAACACCACTACCTACAAAAACACATGTATGTATTGTGTGGTGAATTAAATACGGATCATTATTCAAATCGTCATCACCTACAAAACAAATCCATGTATCGTGTTGTGAATTGAATACGGATCATTATTTAAATCGCCATCACCTACAAAAACAAATTCATGTATCGTGTGGTGAATTGAATACGGATCATTATTTAAATCGGTTTTCTAGATTCCCTTAGACGCCATAGTTTTCTCAAATTTAGTAACTGCTAATTTATGATAACATTGAATCATTTATTCTTGTTAATTATTTTTATATGAGCAAGGAGTGTTTTTTTTTTTAAATAAATGCTTACATATATAATTGTGATGTTAAGTTTGAAAAGACTATTAAAGAAAGAATTAATGATTTGATTTTCATAGTTTGATTATAAATGGCATTAGTTTTAAATTGTAAAGGCAGTGCCATCTTAAGTTCGAATGTTTGGTTTTGTCGAAAATGTCTGAATTAATTTTCAAATTCTAACGGTTACTACCATCAATCTATTGGATCAATAACTGTGTTTCGATACTATCAATTCAAAATTTCTACACGGTATTGCACAAAGGAGCAGGTGTGAACTAGTGATGAATCTATTGGAATATGCATCGCATCCGATACATTTTGGATAAAATCAAGTAAGTAGTTTAAGAATCTGATATAAACACAGATCCTATTTCGTTTCGTTTTTATAGTTCTAAATTTCGGTTAATTTGCCTTTACTGAACTTGGATCTGGCAGAGTTGTTATATAACCTGCGTTCTGGATAGCGTGAGGGATTAGCCAATGAAACCATCTGTTACGGCGACTTCTTGGCCTCCATTGCACGGAACTGTGGATAAACCACTAGAAACGTCAATGTTGATTGATTAATAAATGCCTGACGTCATAGGACCAAAATCCGCACCTACCCCTGACATGACCTCCCACTACAACCAGTCACATCTACATGTAGTATAGGCCATTGTTTAGGAGACGAAGTCGAAAATGTTCAAAGATGTCTGAAGTGGAAATCCATCATACAGTGTGTTAGAGAAGACAGTGAAGGCGGTCACAAAGTGATGGACGGTCTTCAGGGTAATGACGGACTGTTCTACGTTCTAATAAACAATACTACATGTGTATACAACAATTAAAGATGCATTTCCACGTACAAACTGTGTGACTACAATCATATTTAAACTAAATTAATAGTTTGCTTCAAGAAAACTACCCTACGTCGTTTAAGAAATGAAATGAAATGGGGTTTCACGTTCTACTGTTTAGCTCCGACCTGGGCTAATGAAGACGGGCATACGCCAAACAGTGTCCTATGAGGGAAATTTTGCCCGGACATCGGCACTACGAATGCCAACCAACATCGATGGATCTTTTACGTGCACGCCAATTTGTACACGGGACCTCGGTTTTTCGTCCCATCCGGACGACTGTCCTTGTCAGGCCCTCCGTCCTGCATCACTGACAAGGGGGGGGACTTTCTCGGCCAATGCAGGGATCGACCACCCGACCTCCAGGCTAGCGAGGCAGCGTCTTACCCACTTAGCCACGTGTCCCCGCGTCGTTTAAGTATCTAATTGTTCTCACACCCCCTCCCCATTTGATTAACACATACGTCACTCAAACACATACGTCACTCAAACACATACGTCACTGAAACAGACAATAAGCCGACAAGTTGCCAGTTGGTGATATCCTTACAATTTGGTGCAGTGGGCGCCCCACGGGTGTTTTGTCAGGGAATCCAGTATTTTTCTAGTACGACGACTGTGTCTCTCCTTTCTATGTATACACAATATACCATACGTTTATCGGAAATAACTAAGGTGTACTGTTATAAACGTGATATTACCTACCAGTGTATAGTGTTATAAATGTGATATTACCTACCAATGTATAGTGTTATAAATGTGATATTACCTACAAGTAAAGGCACGGTATGGTGTTATACACGTGATATTACCTACCAGATAAGGTATCGTGTTATGGTGGTTATATTACCTACCAGGTAAGGTATATTGTTATACACGTGATATTACCTACCAGGCAAGGTATCGTGTTATGGTGGTTATATTACCTGTATACATATTAGTTATAAATAGTAACTTGTACACGTCACTTACATTCGTCATTGTCACGTATGACAATATCTTTATTAGATAATGATAGGTTACAATGTGGTTTGTCGTGGATGTACTGAATAATACATATATATTCACGCTGGTATTGCTGAATGTTTCAAGGTCACAAGTATTTGTACATTAATAAATATAGTATATATGTTATTGTTGTTTATTACAGTTTATGACAACTGGTGAACATGTTTTCAGATTGTGGTAATAAAGTTTGATTATAAACATTTGATTTTATTGTTATTTGTAAGATGTATGATAGTTATTATTTGCCAAGGTTGAGTAATCCACATGTTTGGTTGCAGATATGATTGCATTGAATGCATGTGAACTGCCTGTTTTGTTGTCGTGATTTGATTGGTTGTGAGTGAAACTGTAGTATACGTGGTGGGAGATATGAATTTATATTGTCACTCTAATAATGGATTTTGGGAGAATCACACATATTCATTGGTCATATCATTCATGAATCGTTCGTAAATATATTTCAACTAAATGGGTGTTAGACTGTGTGTCTCGTTGGTTTTGACTGTGTGTCGTTATAATGGTAATCTGTGTGATTATGAGCAATAATTAGTACATTTACTTGTAAGTATTGTTTGATTTTTGTAATGTTGATAATCGTGGATGAATAGAAATAATTTGATTATTTGTTAAACATTGTGTTATGTTTTATAGGTGACCTGATTGTGATTGTGATTCTGATTCTGATTCTGATAATGTTAATGTGCTACGGATAGTGTTACCTATATTGTTAGTCTGGTCGTTATTGTTCCAGTTAGTTATTTTATGGTAATTAAAAGATATACACGAATGAATAACTCATCAACCTTATCATCTTAATCATCTTTTTAAATGTGCCGTGGAGAGTCAAATGGTTGGTGACTGCTGTGTGCGCGTGTACCATCAAATCGTCATCTCATCAACATATAAACGTGATTAGTGGTCTTTTGAATCGGTGGAGACGGTGATATTATTAGAGAATAATTACATAAATATATATATATATATACATATTATAATTGTATTGACTTATATTGTAGTTATATAAAGATATTTAAATTATACTGTGTTTTGTTAATGTGAACTATAAGTACATGACTGTCAATCCGCCCCAAAAAAGAACCAAAGGTCCAATTTTGTGACAGTCATTTATATATTAACAATGTATAATCACTGAATGAATCTATTCAATATACCAGGAAAGGTCACGTGAATTGTACACCATCAATAGAGACAGGTTATGTCACGTTGTATAGCATCAATAGAAAGGGGAATACCCCGATATAACATAGAAACTAACAACAAATATTTAGTCTACATGAACGTCTTCTAGCACAAGTAAAACTCTTTATTTAGTAGTTTTAATAATACAGTTTAAGAGTAAGTTGGATACAATTTGAGTGTAATGTGGTATATATTGGATACAATTTGAGTGTAATGTGGTATATATTGGATATAATTTGAGTGTAATGTGGTATATATTGGATATAATTTGAGTGTAATGTGGTATATATTGGATATATTTTGAGTGTAGTGTGGTATAAGTTCGATATATTTTGAGTGTAATGTTGTACAATTTGGGTATAATTTAAATGTAATGTAGTAATGTGGTATACGTAGAGTATAAGTTTATTGTTTGGGGTTTAACGTCCTACTGTTATGCTTCGGCTTGACTAAAGAAGACTGCCTACTTTTATATAGAATTCCAACTGCGTAGTGATCCTTTACGTGCATACCAATCTGTACACGGGGTCTCGGTTTTTCGTTCCATTCCAACGACTATAACTTGTCGCTCGCCAGTCCTTCCGTCCTGTACCATTGAGTGTAATGTGGTATATATTGGATATAATTTGACTTTTATGTGGTATATATTGGATATAATTTGAGTGTAATGTGGTATGTATTGGATAAAATTTTAGTCTAATGTGGTATGTATTTGAGTGGTATGTATTTGATATAATTTTAGTGTAATGTGGTATATATTGAATATAATTTAAGGGTATGTGGTATATATTGGATATAATTTGAGTGTATGTGGTATATATTGGATATAATTTGAGTGTAATGTAGTATATATTGGATATAATTTGAGTGTATGTGGTATATATTGGATATAATTTGAGTGTATATGGCATATATTGGATATAATTTGACTGTAATGTGATATAATTTGAGTGTAATGTGGTATACATTAGATATAATTTGAGTGTAATGTGGTATAGAGAGAGAGCGAGAAATGGAGTTTAACGTCCACTCGACACAAACTAGGTCATTTTGGGACTAACATATGGTTTCATTTTATTTCATTAATTCGCTTGCGAGTAGGGGTCTTTAGCAGTGGGAGGACCCGGAGAAAACCCACGAGGTTGGACAGGCGACCCTACTGCTTGTCACATACAACCGGGGATTTGAAACCACGCCAGTTGACTCAATGACAGGCCGTATGATACAGCACGCACGTGCTAACCATTCGGCCACCACCCCCCCCCCCCCCTTCAGAACGCGAAAAGTTGAAAAGTAGAAGTTACGACAAAATGTGAGGCGACAACACGCTATACAAGCCAAAATCAATTTGAAAATAGGAAATTAAGAAATAACACACAGTGATAATAGCGCACCTCGTTTTTTCCTGGCACAGGAATATATATTGTTGAATAACACCTGTACATGATTTGCATGGTTATTCGTGATGGCTGTTAATAGTGGAGTGTTGCCATAGGAATCTCTATACTCAACATTGGCCCCTCGTTTTAGAAACAGAAGAATATCAAAAGTATCACCACACTTGCATGCTCTTAACAAGTCCTTACTTGCGCTGTTTCCCATCCTACGCACAGATTTTCGTTTGATAAATCACAGCTCGTTGCTGCTGTTCCGGTATCTTTAGCTGTTATCCAGTTATTACAGTTTGGTGAAGTGAAGGCGGAAGTTCTCCGGCCCAGCAAATTATCCGTTTTTTAAAGTCTTGACTTCGTGGTGCCGTGTATAAACAATATCGCCCCGGGTGATGACTTTTAGTCGCGTTTGTCACTAATACACATTTATAGTTCACCCAGTATTGTTGTTCTAAAATATAGAAAATGAGAGGGGGGGGGGGGGTCGCGTCCAATCGACACAAACTAGGTCATTTCGGAACTAACACATGGTTTAATTTTATTTCAATAATTCGCTTGCACGTAGGGGTCTTTAGCAGTGGGGGGGGGGGGGGGGGCGGATAATCTGGAGAAAACCCACAAAGTTCGACAGGCAAGTAATAATATTGGCTATTGGTTTTGGATTTTTACGTTTTAATGCTTTTTTTCTAATTTAGAACAATAATACAATCAGAGACGTGACAGGCTTACTGGATTGACCGAAGAACAACACGTGTTAGACTCACAACTAGTCAGCACAGATGTGGAGTGTGGAGATTTAACATAGAAACCACCACGATCAGCATGGGTGACAGTAAGGCACTGTTGAGGTCATGTAAGGATGGTGATTATGGTAACATTGTGTCGTTACTGGAACGTGGAGCCAACGTTGAATATACCGATTCATATGGTAATACACCACTGCTTACAGCTATCAAGAATCATCATACAAATTGTGTAGATTTGTTACTGAATAATGAATAATCCACTGCCAATACAAAACACAGAGACAAGACTGCGAACACTCCTTTAATGATGGCAGCAAATAATGTAGATATTGTCAAATTGTTGATAAACAGTGGGTGCCAATTAAATAAGACGAAATGAAATGAAATGAAATGTTGTTTAATGGCACGTCAGCTCCAACCGGGCTATATTGCGCCAAACATATGGTGAATTTAACGAGACAAATTAAAACAATATCACAGGAATGTATTCATATATGTAAATAAAAACAAATATCACAGAAAATATACTTAAAAATAAATATATCAATTCCTTTACATATATAAATATTTAAAAAAACAATATATGATAAATATATACAATTAAAATTTTGAATAAAAGTTTGTCTCTTTTAAAAATGCTAGCAATTCATCATAAAGCTCCGGTTGAGCAAATAGCTGACGTACTGACTGGCAACGGTAATATTTAGATCTAATATGTTTGAGATGATTGCACTCAATCAAGATGTGTTTCACTGTCAAAGGAACATGACAGTGAACACATTGTGGTTGAGGCTCTCGCTTTAAGATGAAAATGTGTGTTAAAAAAGTATGACCAATGCGAGAGCGACACAAAACCACTTCATCTCTCCTGCTGGTTCTATAGGAGCTTGGCCAGTCTCCTAAGAGAGGCTTAATGTGATGAAGTTTGTTTGTGTCTGCAAGATCCCAAGACCGTTGCCAGCGGTCATATACAAATAATTTAATGGACGATTTAAAATCGGTGAAAGGTAAAAGAAATTGTGATATGGGAAGATCTAAAGCAGACTTGGCAGCTAAGTCTGCTTGATCATTCCCTTTAATATCAACATGACTGGGGAGCCAGCAAAGGACAGTGTCCTTGCCGTTAAACTCGTGTGATAGTAGCAGACGATAAATGTCTGCTACTAAAGGGTGTACAAGCTGCTTATTGTTTATTGCCTGTAAAGAGGACAAAGAATCAGTAAATATAATGTGTTTTAAGGATGAAGAGAATTTGATATACTCCAAAGCCTGAAAGATGGCCTGGAGTTCAGCAGTAAATATGGAAGCAGCAGGAGGAAGACGAACAGAAATGGTCTCAGATGGCGTGACAGTATAAATAAGACGAACCGGTTTAAAGATTCTGCACTACACCTGGCTGTCCGATTTAAAAATGTTAAAGTTGTTACATTACTTGTTTCCAGTGGTATTGATGTTAACCTCACTAACAAGAAAGGTGAAACAGCACTGGACATTGCTACAACTCTTCTCAACGCAGCTATATTCGGTGTATTAAAAGAACTTCTCGGTTCCGATAATGTGAACCCTGTTTGGCAGAAATGTATGGAGTATTTTGCGCCACATCGTGACATAAAATCAGCGACTAAATTAATCCAACAGGACACTCCAATGATTGCTGCTTCATTACTAGAATACGCTTACCGTAAACAAGACATGGCAATGGTGGACACTTTAATAGACGCTGGTCTTAACCAGAATTACAAACCCACCAGATTTAAGGTGGACACGTTTTTACATAAATGTATGGAGTATTCTGTGAGTTATTGTGACATAAAATCGGTCACAAAATTAATCCAACACGGTACGCCTGTCAAACCCTCCTTACTGTCAGACGCTTATTGTAATGGGGACCTTGTAATGGTGGACACATTAATACAAGCTGGTCTTCACCAGAATCACGATCAGACCAGATTTACAGCTTTCATCTATTATTCTGTGTCATATAGAGATACTGAGCGGGTTAAAAAATACATCAAATATGCCAGTCCCTTCGGTGCTCTGGAGGATGGTCGGTCGTTATTAGATGTCGCATATCATGCTGAAAACTATGACATGGCGGGAATTTTACTCCAAAATGGCCATGAACTGACTTTTGGCAATTGTTTAAGAGCATTAAATTTGCATCTTAACCAATACAATCGCTTTAAACACAGTATCGTAATAATTAAACATGTAATACAGTATGGTATAGCCCACATGTATCGTTGGCGAACACAGTTCATGCCCCCCAAAATACGTCTTGAATACGACGTAGATCTTTGCGTATTTGAGAATATCAACATACTGTACTTGTTGTACATGTCCAACTTAATAAAAAACCACGAGTTACATCATAGACTCTCACAGCTGTCTATAGCTTTTAATTACCATGTAATTGTAAACAAATTACAAAACATGGCTTCCGATCGGGCGCCATATCTTAGTCCCTCGCTAAAAGCATTACAAGAACTTGCTTCAAGTCCTATGCCCCTTGTTTGTATAACCCGTAATGTGATTTGTGAATCCCTAGGTCCGCCTAATATGTGGTTTAATGTAGGGTTATTGCCCCTGCCTGATAAACTTAAATCGTTTCTAAGATATGAAGATATCCTTCATGAAAATTTCGTTCAGATACAATTTTTGTGCCACAACATTAAATGGAATTCCACAAGGAACTGTCGATGCTTGAGATTCAGAACGTGTTTAACATGTAGCCACAGATTCGGAAGTCTTCGGGAACTTTGTGATGGAATTTGTTGAAACCATGCTCACGAATGAAACGACAAACCCTGAATGGTTACATGAATGTTGACCAACCATTCGGCCATCCAACTCCCCGAATGTTGACCAACCAAAGATGCTAGCAAGGAGTTGTATACTGTTTTTTATATGTAAATAATAAATACAGGTAAATTGCCTTTGTGATAACGGGAGATATAGGAGTAGGCTTAGATTAGTTAGCCATCATTGCTACATTATGGTCATCTGCCAACTAATTGAATCTTACAAACATCTGCATTTCTCCAATAATATAACGTTTGAAAACTTAATTTCATAAATTGCTAGGCTACCAAAATAAAGCTTATCACAAAAATATAATAATGGTAAACTTAATTTTAACTTCAGTGGGAAATGTTTTTAAAAAAAACGAGAATAAATGGGAATCTAAATTTCAAATCAGCAAAGATATGGATTGGGGGAAGTATGTATATACTCAAACCTTTATATTTACTACTGACATGAAACTAAATTTGTTTCAGTTCCGGGTAAGTCATAAAATAGTTGCTACAAATTTGCTTTGATGTAAAATTCGTATTAAACATTGCGAACTGTGTCCAGCAGACTATTGTACAGTTTAATAGATACCAGGAGATAAGAGGATTTTACATAGCCTAAGCCTGTTCCCCAATCCCATTCAGACAACCTGAATAAAATATTGTTTTAAACAAAAGTTGGTTAATAATAGAACAAATATTATAATAGTTGATAGTATCAATCACCAGACATTGTACAAACTCTAACATTATGTTATAATAGATAGAACCATTCACCAGATATTGTAAAAACTCTGATATTATGTTATAATAGTTGATAGTACCAATCACCAGATATTGTACAAACCCTAACATTATGTTATAATAGTTGATAGTAACAATCACCAGATATTGTGTTATAATAGTTGATAGTAACAATCACCAGATATTGTGTTATAATAGTTGATAGTAACAATCACCAGATATTGTACAAACCCTAACATTATGTTATAATAGTTGATAGTACCAATAACCGGATATTGTACAAACTCTAACATTATGTTATAATAGTTGATAGTACCAATCACCAGATCTTGTACAAACTCTTAACATTATGTTATAATAGCTGATAGCACCAATAACCGGATATTGTACAAACTCTAACATTATGTTATAATAGCTGATAGTACCAATCACCAGATATTGTACAAACTCTAACATTATGTTATAATAGCTGATAGTACCAATCACCAGATATTGTACAAACCCTGATATTATTCTATTATATAGTACCAGTCAGTCACCAGATATTATGCTTAGTAGGATTTCATATTTATAAACAAAGACTTTAAATTCAAAGCCTATATTAAGTATTTTTCAGCTAGAAATAAAACACCATTACCTATAAAAACACATGTATGTATCGTGTGGTGAATTGAATACGGATCATTATTTAAATCGCCATCCCCTACAAAAACATATCCATGTATCGTGTGGTGAATTGAATACGGATCATTATTTACATCGGTTTTCTAGATTCCCTTAGACGCCATAGTTTTCTCAAATTTAGTAACTGCTAATTTATGATAACATTGAATCATTTATTCTTGTTAATTATTTTTATATGAGCAAGGAGTGTTTTTTCTTAAATAAATGCTTACATATATAATTGTGATGTTAAGTTTGAAAAGACTATTAAAGAAAGAATTAATGATTTGATTTTCATAGTTTGATTATAAATGGCATTAGTTTTAAATTGTAAAGGCAGTGCCATCTTTAGTTCGAATGTTTGGTTTCATCGAAAATGTCTGAATTAATTTTCAAATCCTAACGGTTACTACCATCAATCTATTGGATCAATAACTATGTTTCGATACTATCAATTCAAAATTTCTACACGGTATTGCACAAAGGAGCAGGTGTGAACTAGTGATGATTCTATTGGAATATGCATCGCATCCGATACATTTTGGATAAAATCAAGTAAGTGGTTTAGCAATCTGATTAAAACACAGATCCTATTTCGTTTCGTTTTTATAGTTCAAAATTTCGGTTAATTTGCCTTTACTGAACTTGGATCTGGAAGAGTTGTTATATAACCTGCGTTCTGGATAGCGTGAGGGATTAGCCAATGAAACCATCTGTTACGGCGACTTCTTGGCCTCCGTTGCACGGAACTGTGGGTAAACCACTAGAAACGTCAATATTGATTGATTAATAAATGCCTGACGTCATAGGGCCAAAATCCGCACCTACCCCTGACATGACCTCCCACTACAACCAGTCACATCTACATGTAGTATAGGCCATTGTTTAGGAGACGAAGTCGAAAATGTTCAAAGATGTCTGAAGTGGAAATCCATCATACAGTGTGTTAGAGAAGACAGTGAAGGCGGTCACAAAGTGATGGACGGTCTTCAGGGTAATGACGGACTGTTCTACGTTCTAATAAACAATACTACATGTGTATACAACAATTAAAGATGCATTTCCACGTACAAACGGTGTGACTACAATCATATTTAAACTAAATTAATAGTTTGCTTCAAATCCCTCTCAAAACATTTTAATCGCAAGAAAACTACCCTACGTCGTTTAAGAAATGAAATGAAATGGGGTTTCACGTTCTACTGTTTAGCTCCGACCTGGGCTAATGAAGACGGGCATACGCCAAACAGTGTCCTATGAGGGAAATTTTGCCCGGACATCGGCACTACGAATGCCAACCAACATCGATGGATCTTTTACGTGCACGCCAATTTGTACACGGGACCTCGGTTTTTCGTCCCATCCGAACGACTAGACGACTGTCCTTGTCAGGCCCTCTGTCCTGCATCACTGACAAGGGGGGGGGGGACTTTCTCGGCCACCCGACCTCCAGGCTAGCGAGGCAGCGTCTTACCCACTTAGCCACGTGACCCCGCGTCGTTTAAGTATCTAATTGTTCTCACACCCCCTCCCCATTTGATTAACACATACGTCACTTAAACACATACGTCACTCAAACACATACGTCACTGAAACAGACAATAAGCCGACAAGTTGCCAGTTGGTGATATCCTTACAATTTGGTGCAGTGGGCGCCCCACGGGTGTTTTGTCAGGGAATCCAGTATTTTTCTAGTACGACGACTGTGTCTCTCCTTTCTATGTATACACAATATACCATACGTTTAATGGAAATAACTAAGGTGTACTGTTATATACGTGATATTACCTACCAGTGTATAGTGTTATAAATGTGATATTACCTACAAGTAAAGGCACGGTATGGTGTTATACACGTGATATTACCTACCAGATAAGGTATCGTGTTATGGTGGTTATATTACCTACCAGGTAAGGTATATTGTTATACACGTGATATTACCTACCAGGCAAGGTATCGTGTTATGGTGGTTATATTACCTGTATACATATTAGTTATAAATAGTAACTTGTACACGTCACTTACATTCGTCATTTATATATTAACAATGTATAATCACTGAATGAATCTATTCAATATACCAGGAAAGGTCACGTGAAGTGTACACCATCAATAGAGACAGGTTATGTCACGTTGTATAGCATCAATAGAAAGGGGAATACCCCGATATAACATAGAAACTAACAACAAATATTTAGTCTACATGAACGTCTTCTAGCACAAGTAAAACTCTTTATTTAGTAGTTTTAATAATACAGTTTAAGAGTAAGTTGGATACAATTTGAGTGTAATGTGGTATATATTGGATACAATTTGAGTGTAATGTGGTATATATTGGATATAATTTGAGTGTAATGTGGTATATATTGGATATAATTTGAGTGTAATGTGGTATATATTGGATATATTTTGAGTGTAGTGTGGTATAAGTTCGATATATTTTGAGTGTAATGTTGTACAATTTGGGTATAATTTAAATGTAATGTAGTAATGTGGTATACGTGAGTATAAGTTTATTGTTTGGGGTTTAACGTCCTACTGTTATGCTTCGGCTTGGCTAAAGAAGACTGCCTACTTTTATATAGAATTCCAACTGCGTAGTGATCCTTTACGTGCATACCAATGTGTACACGGGGTCTCGGTTTTTCGTTCCATTCCAACGACTATAACTTGTCGCTCGCCAGTCCTTCCGTCCTGTACCATTGAGTGTAATGTGGTATATATTGGATATAATTTGACTTTTATGTGGTATATATTGGATATAATTTGAGTGTAATGTGGTATGTATTGGATAAAATTTTAGTCTAATGTGGTATGTATTTGAGTGGTATGTATTTGATATAATTTTAGTGTAATGTGGTATATATTGAATATAATTTAAGTGTATGTGGTATATATTGGATATAATTTGTGTTTTATGTGGTATATATTGGATATAATTTGAGTGTATGTGGTATATATTGGATATAATTTGAGTGTAATGTAGTATATATTGGATATAATTTGAGTGTATGTGGTATATATTGGATATAATTTGAGTGTATATGGCATATATTGGATATAATTTGACTGTAATGTGATATAATTTGAGTGTAATGTGGTATACATTAGATATAATTTGAGTGTAATGTGGTATAGAGAGAGAGCGAGAAATGGAGTTTAACGTCCACTCGACACAAACTAGGTCATTTTGGGACTAACATATGGTTTCATTTTATTTCATTAATTCGCTTGCGAGTAGGGGTCTTTAGCAGTGGGAGGACCCGGAGAAAACCCACGAGGTTGGACAGGCGACCCTACTGCTTGTCACATACAACCGGGGATTTGAAACCACAGCACGCACGTGCTAACCATTCGCCCCCCCCCCTTCAGAACGCAAAAAGTTGAAAAGTAAAAGTTACGACAAAATGTGAGGCGACAACACCCTATACAAGCCAAAATCAATTTGAAAATAGGAAATTAAGAAATAACACACAGTGATAATAGCGCGCCTCGTTTTTTCCTAATTTCTTATTTTCGACTTGCAATTTGGCTTGTATACCCTCTTTTTGTATTTATTGATGTCAGAAAGAAGCTGCCAACACGCTATACAAGCCAAAATCAATTTGAAAATAGGAAATTAAGAAATAACACACAGCGATAATAGCGCTCCCCGTTTTTTCCTAATTTCTTATTTTCGACTTGCATTTTGGCTTGTATACCGTCTTGTCGACTTTTGACTTAGTCATATTTTTGTACTTATTGATGTCAGTACGAAGGCACCAACACGCATAGCAAGCCAAAATGCAACTCGAAAATTAGAAATTAGAAAATAAACACACGCGCTATTAGCGACGCTATCATTTTGGCTTGCTGTCGTACTGGCGACTTTTTGAGTTTCGCCTCGGAAGTGGTTGTAGTCACAATTTGCCAGGTCGCAATTAAATACATGCAATTTGCGTTAACAAAATAGTCTGTATGATAAAGTCTAGTATTAAAGGCGATATTAGCGACCTATGATTTTGGCTTGCTGTCGTGCTGTCGACTTTCCCCCTCGGAAGTTGATGTAGTCTCTACTTTCAAGGTCACATTAGAATACGCGCATTGATAATTGAATTTCATTTAGGCCTACTGTGGTTTCATACCGCATATAAAATATACAGGTTTTCCCGATTGTATATTATTATTTTTTTTTGAAATAAAGGTGTGTTCCCATTCGTGTCAGTGTGATCTGGGTTGGCACAGGAATATATATTGTTGAATAACACCTGTACATGATTTGCATGGTTATTCGTGATGGCTGTTAATAGTGGAGTGTTGCCATAGGAATCTCTATACTCAACATTGGCCCCTCGTTTTAGAAACAGAAGAATATCAAAAGTATCACCACACTTGCATGCTCTTAACAAGTCCTTACTTGCGCTGTTTCCCATCCTACGCACAGATTTTCGTTTGATAAATCACAGCTCGTTGCTGCTGTTCCGGTATCTTTAGTTGTTATCCAGTTATTACAGTTTGGTGAAGTGAAGGCGGAAGTTCTCCTGCCCAGCAAATTATCCGTTAGTAGTATGTGCGGTAGTCTGGAGCAATTTTGGAATTCCAGACATTCCAAAGGTCTGACGTCACACATTCCTAAGGTCTGACGTCAGAGCATTCCACAGGTGTTCTATTTATAGTTTGAATATGGTTATTGTTGACTGAACAATGAGGTTATGAATAATAAAAAAGGTTTGACTTTTGTAACGAGGGTATGGGGTCCTCGAATTGTTTATTGGAGGGTAGGGGGGGAAGATATTTCGCTTTATAGGCAGGTGTGTAGAGGTTACATTGAGTTCACGTCAAGTGTAGCTATACCTGTATTAAGGGACAATGACCTCCGCCATTAAGCTTGACAGGTGATTTTGTCGATTTTGTTCTAAGCCAATAGTTTTAATCTACATATTTGTGACAGGGTGTAGTTAAATTTTGGTTTTAAGTTTCGAAAATCTAGGTATAAAAGGGGGTTGATTACACGTTCAAATGTAGAATTGTTTTATGAAGTTGAAAACAAGAGATTAACATTATGAGTATTGACTTGTATCGAAAGGATATTGGAAATGATTATTTGGTTGTAAAATGTATTTGGCAAGAAGATGTGTGTTATCACATCAGACTGTATGGTTACGGTTTTAAGAGTGATAGATATCCAACACCCAATGGTATCATGTTTTTCGAGCGGCAATGGCAGGCCTTGATGAACACTGCCTCAGAGATAGATGAGTATTTACAAAAAAACATTGTAAAGAAATCAGTGCCTATTGGTAATGACGTGTACGTAACGATCGACAACAAATACCCTGGAGTCAACATTCGTAAATTTTGGTGGTGTGAAGAGGAACGAATGCCAAAACCTACCCGAAAGGGTGTTCATTTAAACGTGAAACAATGGGAGGCATTGAAAGTTAGCTTCAAAGAGTTGTGTGAAAATAATTTTACGGGTGAGGAATCACCCCTAGGTGTAGTAGGCTTAGCAAAGGCGGAGACTTGTGTATAATTTCTGTCCAACGTATTTTGTATTGGTCGGTCTGTGCGAACCAATAATATAACGAGTTGTATGTATATATATAAATAGATGCCTAACTATTGAGTTATCATACGAAACAGCATGGCTTCACCCAAGATATCAGATGTTTCAGTCGGTTTGACATTGAGTTTAGGGGACAATGATAATACAACCCCTGAAATATTACTGAAGGCTGGTTATTTAGGGTTGAAGCGTAAAATGGTTTTTAAGATGACATTAAAAGAGTGGAGTCGGGTTGTTGATCGTTTCAAAAGATATTTATCCTGTACAAAACCTACCAAATTTGCCATCAACAGTGAGTTAAGCTGTGAACTGGGAACCGCCCGCCAAATGGTTCTGGAGAGAAAAAATGGTAGACAATTGGTGATACCCGAAAAAACCTTTTCCGACCTAACGGGCGTGTCTCGAGTTACAAGATCGTTCAAGCGCGGCCGTTATCATGTGTATGGTTGTTCGCCTGCCAAGTCGGGTCTCGGGGTAAAGGATTGGAGTTTGTTAAAATCTGGACAGGCGTGGCACAATACTCCAGAGGAATGTGTTTCTGCAGCAAACAATGAAGGATGGGACCAGCCTGATTGCTACAGCACGGAAGTACGCGTAGAAGGGGTCCACGCCGAAAATCAACTCATTTTCCACGAGGATCTTGTAGATGCGGAGGAACACGTTACACACCTCGTACCGTGCACCATGTGCTCAAAACATATGCATGTCAATGACGACCATTACTGTCCTGCCGAAAATATACGTACGTTAGTTGTGCAAATATTGGGAGACATGATCAACACGGAGATTTCAAAAAGTGTAACCGGTTGCTGTGAAGGTTGTCTCAACGGTCGTGGAGGGCAGCTTGAACATACATGCCTGGGGATCGACTATTGGTTCGATGAAATCAACTTTGTGGACTTGTACTTCGAATCCTGTTTTCTAGAGTTGAACAAAGATCGTTTTTTACAGATAGCACGATTCGTCCCAGAGATTCGCGATCAGAGCGAAGAGTTGTTTCTACACGCAACGTTGTATTGGAAACCTCAAATCCTAGAATGTGTTCACACGTTGACTAAATAACTTTTTTTTTTTTTTTTTTTTTTTATGATTATAATTTTCATTTTCTATATGTATTACATTTGTACTTTGATATAATAAAAGATTAAACATTTTTAAATGGAATTAGTTATTTTTACCCCGGCTAACGAAATGGATGTAAGGCTAAAGACCCCATTTACATGTATGATATCAGGGCCCACACAATCGGGTAAGCGTCAATTGGTCAGGCGCTTGATTCTAGAACTACCACAAGTTGTCGATCAACCCATAGATCGTATCGTGTGGTGTTACGGTGTTTGGCAACCTTTGTACGAAGAATTAGCGGGTATCGTAGAATTTGTCGAAGGGTTATCCGCTAGTCTAAACCCCAAGGAAAGAACACTATTGATCATTGATGATTTGATGGACGAGACAACGGACAAAGTATCAAAACTCTTTACCCGCGGAAGTCACCACGAAAATACTTCCGTCATTTATATTGTTCAAAATCTGTTTCATAAAGGTAAACATCACAGGACGATCAGTCTCAATGCCCATTACATGATTATATTTAAGAACCCTCGAGACATGTCTGCTATAACGCAATTAGCCAAGCAGATGTACCCTGGGAAAACTAATTTTGTTCGTGAAAGTTACGAGGACGCTACAAGGAAACCCTATTCGTATTTATTTCTCGATTTGAAGAGTACAACCCCCGACCTTTTTGAGACTTCGGAGTAGTATTTTCCCTAGGGATAACCCCACGGTGTACGTACCAAAGGTATAAAAGCAATTGATTTTCGACTGTACCTACACACAGTTGTCCGAAAATAGATAATGTATGGTCTAGATCGTCACGCCAAGCTATTACAAGCACTCAAGCGGGTCAAACCAAGACAGCGAATACATATTATTAAAAACGCAAGTAAACCAGTCATTGACGCATTGTGTGAGTGTTGTCTTAACATCTTGAAAGGGAGAGTTCGACTCTCGGCATACCACAAGAAACGATTGTCGAAACACAAACGTAGTCTAAGACATTTAGCGGACCGTAAAGTCGCCCTGAAACAGAAGAAAAAAATCCTGCAGAGGGGTGGATTTCTTGCTAGCTTGCTAGCACCTCTGGTAGGGATTCTAGGGAGTGTGGTACCTAAAATATTCGGGTTGTAATGGAATTTACTAAACATAACGCTAACGCTACAATATACGTCCACATTCCAATTCTGCTTTGATTGACAAGGTACTTTGTCAAGAAGGCTAGGCTTTTGGTTTGTTTAGCGTTGAGGGTCGTGCATCAACATCAATAGTTCCTGTCCTTAGAGTATAACTTATTAATAAGTATACCAAGATAATGCATTCAGAATTGTGCCTTTCACATTCCAAAGGCAAAAAGTGGGCGTGACTCTGCTCCTGGGGGTTGAGACATTCACCAAAATCAATAGTGGACTCCCTAAGGCAATAAGGAATACATATGCCAAGTACCGAGCGGCTTCATTAAGAATTGCGACCTGGGAGTCGGCTAAGCAGTTATCCTGAGGCTATAAGGAATACATAACCCAAGTTTAAAGACGATCCATTAAGAAATGTGCACTACACGACGTAAAGAGAATCCTAATGCAGCAATACACCTTAGCAGCAATATACAGTCCATATTGTTGCTTTGATCGATATGATCCAGTTTATGTGGAGGGCTTGTCAAATTAAACTGGGTTGTAGGACTGCTATCAGTACAACATTTCATTCACATTAACACAACAATTTTTTTAAAAGAATTACTGTCTTTATTCTAAAAGCATGGACTTTGAGAAGTGTTTGGCATAATTTCTTGGTGTCTTGTTATCTTCAGAAAAGTAGGATGAGCAAAACAACAAAATCTGAAAAAAAAATTAAACAAATTAGAAATAAAACAACATCTGCAGAAATAAAACATCTGCAGAAAAATTTCTTTTTTTGGTAAAAAGATTGTAAACTAGACCTGCATGCAGGAATGACGGGTTTCACTGGTGCCAAGTTACTCTTAAACATGTCACTTTCGGTGCCAAGTTACACTTGAACATATGTCACTTCCGGTACCAACGAAACCACTAAACAGGTTTCCAAATTAACATTGCACACAAATAAAATGGACGTAGAATCAATCAATCAATCCAGCAATATCAAGTCATTTTATACATTTGTTACTTGTAAATGATCTTGACAAAATTAAATTACTTCCGGTGTTAATGAAAATGTTCAATTAGTCTTATGAAATCAGAAATGGCATACGATATCATATAGTGACAATTTTATGTAAATCGAATAATAATTGCCACTTTTAAAGACCAAAAAACTTGAAAAGTGACTTGTAGAAAATCTGCTATTTCTCTGCAACCGTACAAGTTAGAAACTATTTTTTGGTATCTGTATGATCGTATGGGTTCATTCTATTTGTTGATTGGCATCAAATACCATAATTTGAAAAAGATTTCAAAACAGACTCATTCGAATAAAATATCTGTTTTGAAGGCTAAAAATTCAGTTTTTGCCAAAATGACGTTACTTCCGATGATAATGAAAATCTTAAATTACTTGTATGAAATCACAAATGGCATTAGGTATAACATGGTGTAACGTTTATGAAAATCGAATAACAATTGACACTTATGGCCCCGAAACCTTCAAAAGTGACCTGTAGAAAACCGTCTATTTCTCGGCAACCGAACAAGTTAGAAACAATTTTATGATATCTATATGACCATATGAGTTGTATTTATATGTGAATTTAAACCAAAAGTTAAAATTATTAATACATATTAAGTTATTCATGGTTGAATAAAACATTGATTTAAAAAGTTTAAAATGCAGTTTTTGACCAAATGACGTCACTTCCGGTGTCAATTTTAAATTGTAATCAACTTGATATGACACTACATGCTTTTTGAATCAAATGATGTCACTTTTATAAAAATCCAATAATAATTGACTATTTTACAGGCAAAATAACGAAAACAGTGACTTGTACAGAACTGCCCATTTCTTGGGAACTGCTTATATTACAAACTAATTTTAACATACATTTTCTTCGTATGGATTATAGCTACAAGTTTATAAAAGTTACGAAGAAATATTTTAAAATCTGAAAAGCCTGAATAGGTTGTAAATAGGTCAATTTTACACCATTTTTAGCCATTTAATCGAATTTGCTCGAAAATGAAATCGAAATTAAAAAAACTGCTTCCGACATTTTTTGCGCCTTGAAAGGGCACACTCTTTGAGTCAAATAATTTTTCAAAAAAATAATATTTGTTTTCGAAAAATGGTACCTAACTGTCAAAATTGTAGTTTTTGGTAAAATTATGCCACTTCCGGTGCTGACAGATAACACTTCCGGTAATAAAAAAAATGACAATTGAGACAACGAAGCATATGAACTTTGTTTTATACAAATCGATCAATAAAAAATTAATCTAGGACTGAAAAACTGAATTAGCCAATGGCGGCCAAGGAAAATTACTGAGACAAAATTTTTTAACATTTTTGCACTAGTCAGATGACTCTTTAATTCTGTGCACAATACGACTAAAAAATATTCATAAATAAAAAAGTTTTTTGTAAAATTTTAAATTTTCGAAATTTGGCGCCTAATATCTTCGAAGATTTGCCGAAAATCAAAAATCGAAAGTAGCGTAGCTATGTGCCCTGTCTCCAGCTATGCCAAAATGTATCGAAAGTTAAAATTCAATGATTATTGTTAAAATTACTGCAATATTTTAAAAAACGATAATTTGGTGATTTCGGACATTTCGCATTGTCGCAGAACGTTCAAAATAGCTTTATCCTCTAAGTCACACCCACTTTCCCAGTAAAACCGAAGAAATCATAACGATGCGACACGTAGTTGCTGAGATCTATTCAAATTGGAATCTGAATAATAATAATAAGAATAATAATTTTAACAAAAACAATAGTGTTTCACACAAGCTACGCAGTGTGAAACCCTAATTAAGGTGTTGGTTTACTTTGCTATCTTATGTATAGGAATCCTCAACAAACCCAAGATTTTTTAAACCGATCAAGGGACATAACTCTTCCAGTACTTATTGGGAATTTGAAAATTAATCGACTTTTTTATTTCATCAAAAGAAACAGTATATATTTCAAGTCATTTGGATGATAACATTTGCTTCTAAAGTGTCAACAAGATTTTTTTAAATTGATGAAGGGCAGTAACAGTATTTATTGGAATTTTCTGAAAGTAAATGACTTTAATGTAACCTTCTACATTGGTATGCATGTTATAACATGTTTGCAATGTAGTGCTTTGTGTGCACAAGATTTGATGGAACATTACATGGCTGTCTTCATCAGTTTGGTCAGGTGGGGTTGATAAACGAGCACATGTGCGCTTATATGTATAAATGGGTTCCAATGAGTGTATTATGGAATTCCAGAAAAGATAATAGCTTGCTTGATTTCAACAAAGCTGATCCTAGGTAAAACATGAATGACATTTGGCATTGATTTTACTATATATGGATAACAATTATAATTGTTACTTACATCTACATGGATTATTTACTCTTCTCAGTATTTTTACTGTTCTCTGTATTTTACATGACTTTTAGCTAAGTGCCACAAAAGCTGGTTTCTTTGTTTATTATCTGAATCCTATAATATAAAAAAAATCTAAATGTAGTTTTTAAAACAGGCATAGTTTGACAACATATGTAAAAATTTATTAGGTGTAAAGTACAAGAGCAGTTTAAAATATGTGAACTTAAAAGATGCAAAGTTAGAATAAATTATATATATCTAAATGTTCATAGCATTTACCTTAATTTATGTTTGTTGATTGTAGTACATATTCACCATATATTAATAAAGTCATCTCCAATCCATGAACATCATGCATAGTTGCTTGTAAAAGAAAAAATTGAAATAAAAAAATTAGAAACATGAAACAATTTATGTACAACAGTGTCTTGCATATAAGTATGTATATCTTTCCTCAAATGGAATTTTATCCCCAGTAAAACTATTGCCCCATTGAAAGACTTTAAATTTAAAGACACATTATGTAAGTGAAACTCTGCCTATTACAGATCTTTCTTTAGGCCGAAATGTTTCCTAAATTATCAATTAAGACAATAATTAACTGATTTAGACCATAATCAACTATCGATGGCAATATTAAACAGATTAGAATGGTTCAGCCATATTTTGATACAATTCAAAAATAAAGGAGTGAGAATTAAGCGGCCCACACATGCGCAATATAATTGTCAACATTATTGATGTCAATTTTATTGAAGCACATTTCGGTTTCCGACATGCATTCAATTATATAGTCTCAATTTTCATTCTTAAAAATTTGTTTAATTTGCATTTTTGTCTGAGAAATTTAATCAGCAGTAAAGTCTTCAACGCTAACATTTGAGTGTACAAAGAAATGTTATTTAAAAGGCTCAAGCTAACTTTTGTGTGTCAGATTTTTTGAGGTTTAATTTCCTTTTCCATTACATGTACTTACAGTATATGCCATCACATCCCTTGGAACAAATCTCTCTTCACTTTTCTGCTATACATTGTATGTAGCTGCTTTAAAAGTCCACCAGATTTGTATGAATACAAATTCTATTTGATCTTGAAAGAATTTTAATAATCTGAAAAAAAAAAATGGTAGCCTCCCTACTCCCCCACAACAATGCAGGAGCCCTTAGCTAAAAGAAATCAGAGATTAGCTTTTGTATCTATTTCCAAAGTATTTTTTGATTAGGTTGCAGAGTTCAATTTCAAAATATTGGAATATGAAAGCTGGTTAATTTTAAGTGGATAAGAATGTTGGTAATTTTATGCCAATTTTAAGTTGAATATATGATTAATTATTTGATACAAGCGTAGAAGAAATTTTGTATTTTCATTGAAAGAATTCCTGCATTGTGGTGGTGGTTTTTCACTTTAGCAAATAAAACTGTCAATATCATGTGCATAGTACACACTGTTATGACTTTTTGTAATAATTCAGGATGAATACTATAGATTTACTTATATTTATATTATAAATGAAATAACTGCTTATGTTTTTTTTTCTGAAAAGTGAAAAATCATCAGCCCCAACAATTTCCCTTCATTCTATCATCCATTTTTCTACATTTCCATACTGTTAATTTTCTTCATACATATGTTGCACCATTTCAAATATTTACATCTCTTGGTACTATCGATGGCATTGAATTTCTACAATATTAAAAAGATTAAAATGGTTCAGGCATATTTTGATATAATCTAAAAATAAAGGAGTGTGACTAACTTTGAAGAACCAAAACGCTGATTGCACTATTATACATGTACACATCTTGTCAAACCATCAAAGGCTAATATCTTTGTCCGCAATAGAGAAATTTGAATAAAATTTTCAAATTATTCATTTTACATTATGACTTTTTGAACCGTTACAGGAAGAATAATTAGCTCTATTTCTAAGTCTTGCATAATTTTTCCCGAAACTTTTGTTTAATTTGCATTTGTGTGTGATAAATTACATCAGCAGTAAAGAGTTCAACACTAACATTTGAGTGAGCAAAATTGTCATTTAAAAGGCTCAAGCTGAAATTTGTATGTTAGATTTATTGAGCTTTAATTTTCTTTTCAGTTACTTACAGTATATGCCATCACATCCATCGGAACAAATCTCTCTTCAGTTTTCTGATATACATTGTATGTAGCTGCTTTAAAAGTCCACCAGATTTGTACGAATTTGTATGAATACAAATTCTATTTGATCTTGAAAGAATTTTAATAATCTGAAAAAAAATGGTAGCCTCCCTTCTCCCCTACAGCTACCCCTATAACAATGCAGGAGATCTTAGCTAAAAGAAATCAGAGATTAGCTTTTGTATCTAATTCCAAAGTATTTTTTGATTAGGTTGCAGGGTTCAATTTCAAAATATTGGAATATGAAAGCTTGTTAATTTTAAGTGGATAAGAATGTTGGTAATTTCATGTCAATTTTAAGTTGAATATATGATTAATTATTTGATACAAGCATAGAAGAAATTTTGTATTTTCATTGAAAGAATTCCTGCATTGTTCCCTACCTATTCCTAGGGTGGTCGTTTTTCACTTTAGCAAATAAAACTGTCAATATCATGTGGTTTTTTTTTCATTATGTTTCACTTTTTAATGAAGTGCACAGTGCACACTGTTATGACTTTGTAATAATTCAGGATGAACACTATAGATTTAATTATATTTATATTATAAATGAAGTAATTGGTTATGTTTTTTTTTCTGAAAAGTGGAAAACCATCACCCCCAACAATTCCCTTCATTCTATCATCCCTTTTTTTCTACATTTCCATATTGTTCATTTCCTTCATACATTATGCTGCACTATTTCAAATATTTACATCTTCCTGTCTCTTTTCCACGGGCATTTAAATACATAATGTCCATACTTTCCACATCCCTGACATTGCTCAAACCGCGACCTGCACACATTTTCCTTGTGTCCATCTTTTCCACAACATGCACATTCAGAGTCTACATTACAAAATGTCAGTCTGGAATGTCTGTCTTTTCCACATCTCATACAAAGTCCTGCTAGTGTCCTTGACCAACTAACTTCCAGGGCCTCTGTAGGTAATTCAAAATCCAATCCCATTTTGTTAAACAACATACCTACAATTCTAGTTACATATGTAAACTTGAAATGTATACCATCCCCTGTTGTACATACTCTTACTCCTCCATTATCTTCCATATCTTCTGCCACATCCACATAATCAATTCCAAGATCTTCCAATTTCGTTTTACATATCTTATTCAGTCTCACTACATATTCTTTTTTCAACCCCTTTCTATGTCCTGGCAAAAGGACACCAACATTCTTTCTCAAGTCCATATAAACTCTCGCTGCAGATACGATATGACCAGCAATTACCTCAAAAATTTCTTCTACTGTGTTTTCATCCCCTGTTTTTGTCAATTCTTCCAACACATCAGAGCAGCTGCTAAGATCATTGCTTCCTAAATTCAAAATGACATGCTTCACTTTCCCATTTTCAGGTATGCAGGTTTTCTTATTCTTGAGAAATTCTGATACTGTCATTCCGCCATAGCATCTTATGATGGCACCTTCCTCTCTTACCCATTCTACCAACTGTTTACTTGTGGTAAATGGCTTCAAATTACTATCCCCTATCAATGCGCATTTACTGTCCAATTCCATCTTCATTCCATCTTTCAATATTCTGAAATCTTTTCCAGAAACTCCACTTGTACTTCCAATACTGCTAATACTGTCGGTACTTCCCATTCTTTTCAAACCTCTCTTCATTCTGTTACAACTCTGCTCTACTAATTCCGTTGCAGACAATTGTGCCTGAGTATTGGTACTTGGTGATCTACATGCATGTACAGTTTCATCAGGAATACTTTTCAAGCTAGACTTTACAATTTCGGATGCTAGAAGTTTTCCCCTGCTTTCTCTAGGTGACAAACTGTCGTCATCCATAGGCTCTTCATTGAATGAAACTATTCTTTTTTTTCCATGTGAGCTTTTCATTGCAAATTTGTCCTCATCTTTTCTCTCTTTCAATTTTCTGTTTTCTGATCGTAAAATTCCATTTTCTTCCGTGAGTTGTTGTACCTGCTGCTGCAAGGATACATTCAATTGATTCATTTTACTGCTTTTCTCTATTGCCTCTGTGTTCTTGTCTACTTTCTGTTCAAGTTCTGTCAGCAATTTCAAAATTCTATCCATGGCTGTTGGCTCCTCATCCATGCTCAATTTACTTAAACTGCTTGACAAATGTTTGTCAAGCCCAAGTACCTCTGTTTCCTCTGTCTCAATATCTACTTCCCTTTTTCCAACTTCCTCTATCTCATTCTCATCCACCGACAGGCTGGGGTGGCCACTTTTGTCTTTCTTTTCCTCACTCATACACTGTAAATAGAAAACATGTATACAGTGTTATCTTTTTGCCTTTTTAGATGGTTCTTCTGCATTTTTCTCACAAGATGCTTTCCTCTTAAACAAATCTACTGCAGTATTCTGACTTTCTGTTTGAAATACTGATCTATCTTGATTTTCATCAGACAGTTCATTCAGTTCAATAGCTGAATTGTCAATTGTTTTTTCCTGAATTTCTCTACTTGTACTCTCGTCGTCTCTTTTCGGTGTTGATGCTATTGGCGTTTCGTCTTGCAACATTTTAATCATTGCGGACTCATCCAATTCATCTCGTGTTTCCGCTAATTTCTTTTCTAATGACTTACAATTCTTACGCAATTCAACCACTAATTTGTCAGTAACTTCTGTTTCATTACTTATCCCACTGCAATCATTTTTTATCTGTGCTATAAATGCATTTATGTTTCTACAGTATACAGATAATTCATTCTTTAATACATCCAAATCACGTTCTAATGCAGGTTTATCTCCTACGATTACATCATATTTTGCAGCTCTTATCATCATTTCAAAATTATCTCCTTTGTTAGCATGCTTTTCCTTGAAACTTTCAATATGTTTTTCTAAAGTCTTACATTTTTCTGACATCTACAATATTTTGATTTAAAATATTTGGTGGTATATTGGTAAACTTAATTAAGTCCTACACAACATTCTTTACATTGTTCTAAATGAAATGGTTCAACATCCTCTTTTTTGCACTGTCAGGGCTAATGAAGATTGATATATGTCATCGTGAATTTTGTCATGCAAGTTGGATTATAGGCTTATAGCTTATACGTACTCAAGATATACCATTACAAATTTTATAGGCTATATTTGAAAATTTAAAATGGACAAAAATGGGTTGAAAAGGATGTTAATTTAAACATAATCAACTAAATGCTGCCGATCAGCTGCGATATTTATTGGATTTGAGTATTTTGAGTACATTTTGTGTTGGAAGATTTAACATTAAAATGAATAATCAAGGGTTTGTTTTTATTTTATTGACTTTAGTTATGTTTTAGTTTATGCATAAATGTCAATCGCTAATATCTTGGTTCAGAACAGAGGAATTTGTCTGAAAATTCAGTATATTCTCTTTACCTTAACCATCATAGTGAGAACTGTCAGCTTATTTATCTAATCTGCCATTATGCCTATTTCATATGAATGTGTAAACTAATTTACATTGACATAAGAAAAAAATTAAAATTGTAATTTCTATATTTATTTTATGTGAAATTTGTGAATAGTCCAAATTGAAGTGAAGTCAATCATGCTTGCTGAGTGCGCTCAACATGGTTTTTCTCTTGTTTATATATATGTTGTGTGAATCATCAAATACTTTGGGCCTGTCCAGTGGCTTTAGATGATTTACTAAACATTCCCTATTATTAGTATTATCTTTGATAGGTATGGAAATGATATTCATTGATTCAATGAAATGGGGAAATTAATTGAATTTTCTCTGGTAAAACTCAGATTATCAAAAGGGGCCTTCATTTAACTGTGGTGTAGAAATGTAAGACATTAAATCCCATTGTTAGGCTACTTTCTTTAACTGAATGAAATTTTTTTGTGGATTTAGAAAATGCAATCTTATCAAAGTAAAGGCAAAAGCTGTAGTTTAAATAAATTTATTTACACAGTGCACACAGCAGCCTAATAATTTAATGTTATCATCAGGACTAAAGACTAGTACCGGTAACGCATGAGAATATTGGGAAAGTATTGAAGGGGGATTAAAGGAGATTGGATAAAAAGTTGACAGTTCTCCTTATACTAATAGTTAAATAAGATAACTTTAACAGAATATGCTGAAATGTTCAGTAAAATTGCCACACCCTAAACCAAGATATTAGCCTCGGTTGAGGCAGATTTAGCTTTGGCATAGTGTTTTATGCATAAAGACTACATTAGTTAGATTAGGTGAGGTCCTATTATATTCTCAAAGTTCCGTTTACCGTTTCAGCAATAGCTACATGTATTGCAAGCCAATAGGCCTACCGATACGTAACACAACAGATCAAGTTTTAAAAGACAGTCGCCCGGGTTTTTATAATTCTATTATTATAGCGATTGAACACGACAATGTAATCCAATTTATATATTCAAATTTTGATGTGGGGTTTGTCGTTGTTAATCGGTTATTTAATTAAGAGTCAAGACAAGTTATTGTACATTATTCGTTTTCATTTCATTTGATAAATCGGTTATATGAGTAGGTTTATCAGAATAGCGTACTTACCCCAATATTTGTTTCCGATGATAAATTAGGTCTTGAATAAATAAAGTTGAAAATTTGTTTAGCCGCTGCAATCACTGATATCTACATAATAGTAACGCCAATGTGCAAATGGCAGCAGTGAGTATAAATCAGTCGCAGAATTCACGAGATTTGGGAATCACGTGACGAAAACGGCGCGAAATAAATAATGAGCTGGGAGGCGGAGCCAGCGCGCTCGCATTCTTTGATTGGCTGGAAACTTTAGCGATTGGGGAAAATAATCAGTAGCTTTTAATTGGGGTTTCTTAGTAGTGTTGAACATGGAACTGATGGTCTCACGACATAGAGTAATCGACTGACGTCACGTTTCGAGAAAAAGATTCGTCGCTGTCGCATTACATATGCGTTATTATAATTTTACATCCATAACAGCGTGTCGTATACTATAAATCATTATCTTCAAATATTAAGACAATAATGCGCCTTAGTTTTTCGAATTTATAGTCAATAAATAAATGGTCATGTTGTAATTGACAAGTTATAACCATTTAAAAATCAATTTAAAAGAAAAAAAAAAAAGAAACTGAAAACATGGTCAACTATGAATGGCTATATTAATCTGGCATTTAGTTTGAGTGCTAAATAATAAGTGCCGATGTTTTGAAAATAAGAAACCAGTTTACCAGGAGCGGATCCAGGAATCCCCAGGAGGGGGTTTGCCAGGTTCCTGCCGGTTAAGGAAATCAGGCATCATCGTCTCTAAATTACATAGGCATATATGAGGTGCCGATTGCGACTTTATTGTCAACTCAAAATATATGTCAAACTCTATAACTATGCCAAACCTAGCCTAATTTCTTTGGTCAAATTGACGCTAAACTCCATATATACGTTATTTAGTTAGTCATCTTTGAAAGAAGAACGTCATGTATTTGGAGTTGATCATGTATATTAATTTTGAGTTTACCATCAAGTCTAAGTTTACATGTCATATATACATTATATACGGAACTTTCTAAATACGTGCTAAGTTAGACTCGGATTACTGGTCTTAAAATTTTGCTATTTTGTTATTGGAGTCTTGGAATCGTTTCGACCCATAACTTGTAAGGCTTTGACGTCAAATATAGATGACGATGAGAGGTTATTGGATCCAAATTGAGTCTAACATGACCGTAGTATATAATCCTAAACCACAGTTAAAAAGACTCAATAATATTATGCGTCGGCAATACTGGACTCGGACCATAGATGACGTTAATGTAGTGCGGTGTACAGGGCCTTATTGATATTGTAGGATTTTAAAAGTAGGGGTGCAGCAGAGTGTTGGGGCGGCAATATAATGCCCTAGTTTCCAAGTACGTGGAGCCGCAATCAAAGTCACTAGCATGTGATCCCGTGTGTCAATTTCGGACGCGTTATTTCTTATTTTGATGTGAAACACACCAAAATGAGAAACTTGTATTTAGAAAGTTCCGCATATAATGTATATATGACATGTAAACTTAGACTTGATGGTAAACTCAAAATTAATATACATGATCAACTCCAAATATATTATAGTTAGTTTGTCATCTATACAAGAAGAAAGTCGTATATTTGGAGTTGATCATATATAAATCTTGAGCTTAGCTTCAAGTCCAAGTTTAGATGTCATATATATTTGGAGTTCAGCATCAATTCAAAGTTTACAAAAGAAATAAATCCCAGTTTGTCATATTTATAGAGCCCAACATATATACTGAGCGCCATAGAAAAACTAAGTGATGCGTTTACTATGGCGCTCAGTATATATTTTGAGTTGGCAATAAAGTCGGAATCGGCGCCCAAGGCATACATACAAATTCAGCTTTTTAAAGAGTGAAATCACTTTCTTTTATAATGATGAAGGATCATATTGTGATTTAATTTCATTGATGCAAGGCATTATTTTTTTTGGGGTGCTGAGCAGGGTAGGATTTGGCACCCCCACCCCATCTGGATCCGCCCCTGTTTACGGACAGTTCTATATGACCATTACAGAAAGCAATCAATAAATCTAACCTCTTAACTCATTGGTTAGGAAACTCAAAGATTATTTTGAAAACCTTGGAAAAACGACAGTCTTTATTTGCACAGGTTTAGGAGCAGAACAGCATAAGGACGTTAAACTCCATTTCATTTAATTTTGGAAATATACGTCAACATTCCTAAGATGAATGACATGGTGGTTTTTTTTTTAAATGATGAGAATGAAATATGAAATGTCTACAAGCAGCCACATTTAAGCATTTGTTTGAGACATTGTGTCTTAGTGGGAACGCTTAATTTCCGTTACTTACAGCATATACCATAGAACGAATCTTTCTTCCTTTTCTTATACATCTACCCCTTTTAAAAGTCCAGAGGTTTTGCAGAATACACTTTCTGTTAGAACTTTTAAGACCCTGAAAAAAAATTTGTAGCCTTCCCCCACCCCCAACAACAATGCAGGAATCCCTAGTTAAAAGACTTATTTTCCCAAATATTAGAAATAGAAGATTACTTTTTGTATATATTTCCAAAGCAGCTCTTTGCTTAAGGTTACCAAACTCATTTTCTCAATATTTAAATAACAGATAATGGTATCCTGAAATGAATAACAGTGACAAACTGCAGTTGGATATAAATGTTTTACAGATACAAAATGTATATTAAACTATGTGATCAAAGTTGTGAAACAGCAATTTCGTTTCTCATTGAAAGGATTCCTGTACTGCTCCCTACCTATTCCTAGGGCGTGGTTTTAAACTTTATTAAATTGCCAATACCATTTTTTTCTAAATTCTGTTGGATTCTTTTAAATTTTACTTTTTAGTGGAGTGCACATTGCTTTGACATTTTTTTTTATAAACGTAGCATTATGACATATAAATGAAATAATTGTTCCATGATTTCTTTTCTGCAAAAGTGAAAAACTATCACCCCAAAAATTCCGTTCATTCTATCATCCATTTGCTTATGCAACTCCATACTGTTATATTCATTACATGGCTATGATTTACTTTGCTAACTTTCCAATCGTTACATCGAATGTTCTCTTTTCCATGGACATTTAACTACACAATCACCATACTTCCAACATTCTTGATCTGCATGCGATTTCCTTCTGCTCATGTTTTTGAAAATATGTCAATCCTGACTCTACATTACAAAATGTCCACCTAATTTTCAAACCTCAGTTTCATGATGTGATTTAGCAATTCCTTCTTAGATGTACAGATAACAATACACCCTTTTGTATTCGTGTGTATTTAACATCCAAGATTCATTATTGTGCTAAGCATTATGTTCCTGTACTCCGCTACTTCTCTGGTACTGTACTGCTGGGTGTTCCCGGCCAATATTCTTTCTGCATTCATACACATATGTACCCCACAATCAAAGCTATTATTTTGTTGTGTAACATTTTTCTCATATACACATTCCCAGTCTCTGGTACTATTTACATCAATTCCTTTTAAAAACTTCTTTACAGTTCTCATACATTTGATTCCCGTTCTAGGGTGATGAACTGAATCATAATACTTTACTGTTCTCAATTGTACAAACACTGCTATTAAACTCCAGTGTCCAGGGGTGTGTACTGGTATCAACAGCTTTTCATAGTTCAATAAATTCCAGTTTGCATAACTTTCTATAGCATCAGTGCAATTCATTTCTATTCTTACATATGCGAATGTGTCCAACACTTTAATATTATTGCCCAAAAGTTGTGATTCTCCTTCTACAGCTTTCAAATAGAAGTTTATCACTTGATCATTCAACCAGTGTGGAGTATTGAGTGTGTCTAAATCCTCTTCTGACAAACCATACCCAAAACCTCTACATATAATTCTTTGATATGGTACAACTGCAAGTTCTTCTCTTTTACAGTCTATGTTCAGAGCTTTCTGTACATTTTTTATTCCCTTTTCCTTCTTCAATTTTGCCTTACGCAAGTTGTCAATTTCCTGTACTTTATTTGAATTACATTCATTTAATTTATCATCCGTTAAAACTTTTTTCTCTACAAATCCATGGTTAATTAAGCAGTCGCTTCTTTTTTTCTTAGCTTCATTCCTAATAATGCATAATATAGGTTTATGGTCAGAGTAATAACTCTCAAGACAATTTGCTTCCATGTACTTCTCTTCAATATTACTGAATATAAAATCTATACATGTACCAGAATCTGTTGTTGGTTTTATTATCCACTGCCTCATTTTAAACGTTTCACACAATTTTTCATACTCTTTACTGCTTCTCTGTAAATTAAAATCCCCCAGAGCCAAAATGTTCTCTTCTTCACCCAAATCAGCCAACAAGGTCTGTATAGTAGCCAACAGAACAGGCAAAGGTACTTTTGGTGGTTTATATACACCTACCAATTTTAAGATTTTCACCGAGTCGCCTTTCTGAATACTTGTCTTAACCACTGACATTTCAATTCCATCCTTGTTCCAGTTCTGAACTTTGCTCATCTCCTCTAATTCCTTTTTTATGTAAACAACCATTCCATGGTGCCCTTTGTCATTCTCAGTAACTGCGTCATTTCTATGCAAGGAAAATCCTTCTATTTGTAAAGTATTTTCAGTCTTACACTTGAGATGTGTTTCAGATAAGAATACCACTGCAGCATGCTTAAAATATCTCTCACATTTGACATCGTCTAGATACTTTCTCAGTGACCTTACATTATGATAAACAAACATTAGACTATGAAGAGAAAACTCTGGCAAAGTACAAAATTCCACCTTCAACATTCTTTCTTTTCTTAGCCTGTCCATTTCAAGTTTTACATCCTGACTAACTTTAATCTTCGTTTCGGCTAAGTTTAATATGTTCAAACCCTGTAATGTTCTTACTCTACTCAGACCCACATAATGCATGTGAGGAATTCTCACGCCTTCAAAATCAACCACTACCTCATCCAATGTATCGCCCTGTGACCTGTGAATTGTTTTGGCTGCTGATGGTCTCAGAGGGATTTGCGTTCTCATCACTTCAGCGTTTTTATGCCTCCCGATTTGAATTTGTCGTGAAACTGGCATCACAGGTGTCCATTTTTGTTTAATATTGCATTTGAACAAGGTCTTCAATTCCTCCCGTGTCCTTTTCCCGACATCTTCATCCTCAAACTCTACCCAAATAACGCTTCCAACTGCTGAACTTTGACTTGATGTTTCAATATGCGTTACTACACAACTAGCTCCATTAGTCATACCATCATCTATTCTTACATTTATACACATTTCACATTTTAGTCCAACTGCTATCTTCAGGTTAGTGCTTAACTGCATAGTCTTTTTCGGATCATCAGGAATGTTATTCAAGACCATTTCTTTCACCGTTTGAGCTGCAGTCCCAACAATACTATCTTTAGCTTTGATAATAAACTTTTTACTCTCTATCTTATTAAACACTTCA